TTTATTGCATAATACAGGCCTATAAACTAGGTGCACAAATACATATTGCTATTGATTTTGCTTCTTGATTAATCTCACAAATGAAGAAGGTCATAGTTTTAAATATACTTTTTATATTTATTAAAAGGTTCTGTAACATGATTTATATTTGAAACATGATTTATATGTTAGTGATACCAATGACTGGATATTGTGTATAAGTGATGGTTGTTGTTTTTTTAGATCAACTATTGATACAGGTTGAGGTAATTGCACTATATATCTATTTTTTTGAAAGCTGACACGTATATTCATGATTTTAAAAAATGGAAACAACAGATATTTTTCAGTTATGTAAACTAACAGAAAATATGTTGATGGGTTAGCGGCATCAAATTGAAATGTAACTCCGCTTGATTTAAGTGTGAACCTGGTTGCATAAGCTTGTTGTAATATTTACACTTCTACCTTTTCTTTTTTTTTTTTTTTTTTTTTTTTCTTTTTTTTTCTTGAACAGAAAGAAACATTATTTTTTACTTGGAAGATAATTACTTTTTTTGTTTAACTTTACAGATTATTTTTTCATATTTTTTTTTTTTTTTTTTTTTTTCTTTTTTCTTTTTTAGTCTTGAACAGAAAGAAACATTATTTTTTACTTGGAAGATAATTACTTTTTTTGTGTAACTCTACAGATTATTTTTTCATAGGTTACATAAAAAAGTTTTAAAGAATAACTGACAACTTCTTAAATTAAGGTGGCTGTGTCGGCTATCTATTCACAAATTTTATTATTGATGAAATTCCACAATAGTTTATTAAACTTAAATCAAATCATATAGTTTAATGCTTAATATGTTTTCAAACCCAATTTTGGGGCACTTGAATATGTAGTTTATATGTGTTTGAATTTCTTCATATTTTATTATTGTGACTGGTTTAATTTAACTATGACAACATATGCATGTTACAGTTTTGCTCTTAGTTATAAGTTTTTAAATATTTTTCTCTAATATGTTACACTTATATAAGAGTAAAATATCCACTTACATTTTTTTTCAGCACTCTTGGGTGAAGGGATATATTACGGCATGTAACTTTTAAAACGCATTTTAAGCGTAAGTTGGTCAAAATTATTTACATCTTACAAATTTAATTTTTAAAAGGAAATCATGTAGCTTGAACAAAATATTACTATAAAAACATAATGATTATGTATTAACTGTTATTTATGTTTTTGTTGATTTTTGAGGTTGGGGGATATTCTTTATAGAATGATTTGATCATATTTTATGACAAAAGAGATATAAATATTTTTCAACAATTGTATAGGTCAAGATAATTTTCAAAAAACAGTTTTTGATCCACATGAAATTCTGGTTACAAACTTTCTTGATTGTTATTGTTCTTTTTTTAAGAGCAGTGAAAATAAATAGAACTGGACCAGTTTATTTTATAAGCATAAATAAACAGTTCATCTAAATTGAAACCAGTTAAATTTCAAAGCTTCCATTTTTTAACAAAATGAGAAAGAAATTAATGGTTTTGATATAAAAAATTAAATAATGCATAATGCAGCATTTTCTAAAACAATTATTTGACATTCATTATACTATTTCCAACATGTTTTTATTAAACCAGCATTTCATTTTTCTTGTATATAACATTGCCATTTCTTTTCATTTCTTTCAATACATTTCATTATTCCAACAATTTTTTACATAAACAAATCATTTTCCTTTTTAAACACATGTATAAATTTTTATAGATTACATTAAGGACAGGTATACCCTGCATTTATTAATATATGCAGATCTGCATACTTTATCTTTTAAGAGTAAATTTATCTCCCTCTCAAAAATGTTAAAATGGACTTTTTTTTCTTTACAAAATGATCAAATTAACCATAATTTATTAATTCTATTTTATGGCGAGGTGAAAATTTTTTCAAAATTTATGCAATTTTAATAATTATAAGGTGTTCACACATGCCCTTGTCTTGGCTTGCTAATAAATCATGCCACGTAGTGTAAGATAAAGTTTTCCATTTAGGTATCAAATAAATTATTTTTACCTTCCATTATTTGAAAAAAAAAAGAATGTGAAATTTTTAATTATTTTTTTTTTAATCGTAAAATAATTGAGAAAATTCCTAAACACTAACCTTGTTTTTGTATACAACCATGAGGAGCAACATATTTTTGAACTTAAGATACTTCTAGTTGAAACTGTTAATATTTCTAGATGTTGTGGATCATTTCTTGTTGTACTGTAAAATATGTGTTTCTTTTCTAAAATTTGTTCATTTGTGTTTCTGTTTTGTTTCTGTATCCAACAATACTGGAGACTTGTAAAATTAAATACCAAGACTAAAAGTATTTCAGTTTTTTTTTATATGTAAAATCAAGTTTGCAATTAGTCTGTAGATTGGCTGTTATGGAACTGTGTTGATTTTTTTTTTTTATAAGTCGCAAAAATTATTGAAATTACCAGAAGAACCCAAGCATAAATTTGATTTGCAACATTAGAAACTTTCTTGTCAGCATTGCTGCATTTTCAGAAAATTTTTGAATTACAACATTTAACCTACACTCTTTTTTTCTTTTTTTAAACATTATAATTTATACTTTAAATAAATTTAATTATAACATACTGCATTTCTCAATTTAGTTTTCATCAATTGTTTTATCTTCCAAATTGGTTTAACTGCAAACACTATTGGATCATTCGTTTGACAATATAAGTTAAAAATTCTTTGATTTCATCAAATCAGATTTTATTATACATAAAGAAAATGAAATTCCTAGAGAAATGTAAGTCTTTGAAAAATTATCGCCATACATTAAGTAATAATGTTGACTATAGCCAATGTAAATCTCTGTGAAATAGTTACATTCCTGATGCCACATAGCAAATATGGTTAAACATTCCTAACTTGTAAAACTGGGGGCAGTCTTTACAGAAGCCTTCACTTTCCTCTATTTTATATATACTCTAATCAACTCTTTAATTTCAAGAGAATTTGTATAACTTTCATTGTGGCTTTCTTGCATTTATTTCAATAAATAAATATATCTATCTATAATTACCCACACCATTAAAAGAATGCTGATTTGTTTTTAAACATTTTAGCTCCGAATTCACCTACTGGGTATGTGATGTCTTATTTCCTATTTCTTACAAAGCTATATGTGTGTGTTGTCAGTATTCCTTTCCACTTTAAAAATGATGTTAACTTGGGCTGTTAACTATTTATGTGCTTTTGAAAATATTAAAATTGCATTTTCTTTGACTTGTCCCTACACTTGTTACAAATTGTAAAAAAGAAATTACTTGTTTCCTTCTTTGACAACAAAACAAATCACTCAAAAGACCTAAAAATCTCAACAAATAGCTATTTTTTTAAAGGATTAAATAAAAGAGAATGCCTCCAGCCTCTTTTATGTCAGGCCTATTTGTAGTTGAATACTAATTTATAACTCCTCTAAATTGGCCTACATACTGTTCTTTGATTTTATATGTGTCGTAGAGTTTCATTTTTCTCTTCATTTAATTTGATTAAAAATAAATAAAATAGGATCTCTTTCAATTTCAACAGTAGTGTATACTGATTAGTGGAATTCATTCTAGTTTTTCCACTGCCTCCCTCCCCCAATACTAACAAAGTTATTTATTAATGTCTTCATCCAGATGATCTATTCTTTGATTAATTGAAAAACATCCAGAATAATCCTTCAAGATTTTATTGTTTTATGTTAGATTCTTTAAAATGGCTTTATAGAAATTCCAGAGTTGGTGATTACATTACTACACTGGGAATTATAAGAATACTAGCTAGGCCAATAAATGACAATGATTACTACATAAACACAGGTGGCAATCAAGGAAACTAGCTGATCTATCAGTCACTGAACTTTAACAGCCTTTTATCCAGTTAGGCCAAATCCCTTGGCACAAACATGTTTGGATTGCCCTAACAACAAGGGAATGATTTAACCTTAGTTTAGGTGGATAAAGCCAAGCTATTTGAAGAATTACTGCTATCTAAACAAATTAAAAACCCTATAAATCGAGGAACAATTATAGTGTCTCCTAAGTAAAAACTACTCCAAGAGTGCCACATTGCCTAGTTTAGTTAAAATACATTTTTGGATAAATTTAAGTTTACTTGACAGCTCCTCTAGCAAAAATATAAAGAAATTAGCAGCTTTGGAAAAAAATACAGAAAGTTCTTTGTTTTTTTTCCAAATAAAAATGTCCAATGGATACATGTTTGAAAAATATGTTTTCCATTATTTTGCATTCAAAGAATTCCAATAAAATTTTTAAAATATTTTTATTATAGAGCTTCCCAAAATCTAATGTTAGAAACTAGAAGTTGTGGAAAAATAATATCTAAAACATTGATGAGAAGCAGGGCCAGATTTACCTATAAATTAAAAAACAAAAGTTAAAGCTTGGTGCCTCATTTTTTAAAGGGAACAAAAAAGTGTATTAGTATTCAAGGATAAAAATGTAAATAGAGATTCCATTTGATTTAAAAAATAAGTTGTATCTTTCAATGAAAGTGGTTTGATTTAAAATAATTAAAATGCTTTTTTCAACATTTTCAAGTTTTGGTAAGATTTCAAGTAAATTTTTAACCAGGGACCTCTAAGCTTTATACAGCTTAAGGCCTAACCTATTAAATCCAGCACTGATGTAAAGCTTTAAAAAGAGAGTGAGTTTTATTGTGGGGAGGATAAGTAGCCTGGTTATATATCTTATGATAACTAGGCCTGTAAATATAACTTGACACCATGTAAACCCTTTGTATCATTACCATTAAGTTATTGTTAAAATTTTAACATTAAATGGTATTAAATATAAACATATTTTTAAAATGGTGTTTGTTTAAATTTCTTAAGTTGGTGAAAACATATTTATGACCCATACCTACAGCTTCAAGTATAAACTTTGCTTTTTAACAAGGATTCTTTAATCTCTGCATCCTCTAACAAGACAAATAATAATACTTTTTTTTTTGTTGATCACAAAACTTTATTATTTATACAATAGTGTTCAAGCTGTAAGGTTATTGTTGGACGGAAAAACATTGATAAAAAAAACAAATTCATTTCAATTATTACACAAAATACACAAATGACATTTCAAAGAAGGTTAGTTACATAAAGTTGACATTTCCTTTAAAAATCTGAACTCAAGTTAAAAGAAACAAAATATTTACATTTTTATGGATAAAGATGCACATTATATAAATATCACAATTGATAAACAATTTGTATATATTTTAACATGTAAATGAAATAAATATATTTTTGAAGTCTCATAAGTGTAACCTAACTTTCAATGTATAGTAGGCTAGGTATTTAGGCTCAAAAAGGACATTGTAAATATATCTACATTAAAAGATTTTTCAAATCTACTGAAATTTAAAAAAAAGATAATACATAATGACATAAAATTAAAATAACAACAATCCTAGGAGTTCAATGGATTGCCTTTTAAATTAGCATTGAAAAGCAGAAAGATAAAAAAAAAATTACATGAAAGTATTATTTTTATACAGACTGACCATCAGAAAAGTCAAATCCAATGATTTATAACAATTTTGGCATGATTGATAAATATCTAAGAGATTAACAATAAAAAAGATTTTTTAACATAATTTTTTAAAACTCTGAATCCAGTAATAATTAAATTTTTACAAGATAAACATAAATTTGTCTTTTGAGAGTGACCTGTTTAAATTAATATATTAAATGATACCAAAAGCACTTGAGTATCTAATAGTTTAGAGCACACAGCAAAGCCACACCCCTTTTGATCCAGTGTTCCTGTGGTTTGTCTGTTGGAATTTCAACAGAAAACACAAAGTTTGTAGAATGACCAGTGGTTGATAGTGTTCCTGTAAAAAAAAAAAAGAAAAAGATTATAAAGCATGTGGAAAAACCTTCTGACAAATTGAAAAATTTCACTGGACATATTTTAAGAAACTAACCCTGCCATTTTAAATGGTAATGAAACTGGTTTAAATATTATTGAACATAAGCCAACGGTGGTCTGTATTTGAGTCTATGGGGAAGATCAAGGTTTTCAGGCCCTACACTTCAGTAATATGGGGAGGGCTGACAAAGGCTTCCAACTGAAACAACTGCTGTTTTATTTTGTCTTTCTTCAGGTTTTCCCCTACTCTGTGTGCTTTAATTCTTTGTTTTTCAGTATGTTGGCTTAATTTAAATTTTAATGTGTAATTCTGTCTCAAAGTACTCAATAATTCATTTAAGAAAAGGAAACTGATGATACATGAAGATAAGGCATATATGCTGATTACCCACCTGCTCTTGTCAGAGTTTTGTACACTGGGCAGTCATAGATTCCAGATAATGTCTGTTTACGATTGGCAAGTGGTTTCAGCCACAGGACAGGCATGTCAGTGTAGAGCTCTTTGGGCCTGGATTCCCCTAGCAACTGCTTGTTGCTGTCCCAGCGTGCACCTTCCACAAACAGCCCTCGTATGTAGCAACCATCCTCTGGTGCTTTATGCAGATCTGAATAGCTCTCTTTTATTACCTGATTGGATAACAAATGTTCTTAATAAAAAATATCTTATACAATTAATTTTTAAAAATTTAGGCCTTTACATACTCACAAATCAGATAAATTAATATAGCATCAAAAAGTTGTCATAACCTAATTATTAAGTTTATGATAAATAAATATTATAAAATTTGTCTAATTTCTTTCTTTTTTTTTTTTTTTGCATGATGTCAAAGAATATAGCATAATTTTAGAAATTGCAGAAGACTTTATGTAAAGCACAATTTTGTAATAAAGAAACATTGTTAATCTTGAATTAAAAAAACAAATCAGATAAATTAATATAGCATCAAAAAGTTGTCATAACCTAATTATTAAGTTTATGATAAATAAATATTATAAAATTTGTCTAATTTCTTTCTTTTTTTTTTTTTTTTGCATGATGTCAAAGAATATAGCATAATTTTAGAAATTGCAGAAGACTTTATGTAAAGCACAATTTTGTAATAAAGAAACATTGTTAATCTTGAATTAAAAAAGGAGTCCAAAATTAATACATGATTGTATTTTATATAATCGTCGCATCTTACAACATGACTATTGTATTTACTTCTCTTGTATAGTCTTATAGTTCAAATACAAAATGTGTCACTTGCTGTGGTCAGATTACATATTTTAATAAAAAGACAGCAATATATGTAATAGTTAAGCAACAACAACAACAAAATGTCATTTTAATCACCTCAAAATCAAAAGAGATTGAATCTATAGAAATGACACTCTTCCTAGCATAGTTTTGTAGTGTCCCAGTTAAGAAAGCTTGAGGAAAGAAGAAGCCCGATATCCAAAAAACCTGTGAAAAAAACAAAAAGTGGTTAATCTTTGAGGAATATATTGGGTTTAAAAAGGATGTCATTTCAAATATGCTTCTTAAAAAAGTGTATGAATAGCCATTTCTACTTTTGATCAGCCTGATATGGAGATTTTTTCCCCCATATTATTAAAATCATAAAAATGTAATGAATATTAAAATTGTCTACAATAAGTCAAAGCGAAATATAGTACTACTAATTTTTTTTTTAGCAACATGTTTTTTTTCAAAATTCAGTTTTATTAAATTATTATTTTAACTGACTGGTGGAATGCCTTCATCAATCCACTGCTGTATGAATGACATCCTTGTGACAAGATCAATAACCCAAGATGCCAAAGGTTTCAATGATGGGTACGCCTGAAAAAAAAATTTAGATAAACATAATGATCATCAATATTACTGGGCGAAATCAGTTTGTCTTGCTATTAATTATAAACATATTGTTTTTATTGCTATTTTCATCTCATCTGCAATATCAATAAAGGCAAAGATTTTTAATGAATGCTTGAGAAATATTAAAGCTTTATAAATCAAAACTAAAAGAAAAATGTATCAAATTTAATTATCAGTGGTGGTTGAGATTTAAAAATCAAATCAGACTTTATCTGTAGGTTTAAAAGAAGACTATAAATAAATAAACCAAAATGTAGATAAATCTACAAAATAAAAATGTCAGAGCATCCAAAGAGAAACATTAATCTACCTTTGATGCCCACATGCTTGGTACCACATTGTTGAACAAGCTGTTTGCCATGTCTTCCAGCTGCTGGGACATGACCACAAGCCCTTTGAGGGCTTTCTGTAGGTCTTTCAGGGACTGATGGATCACATCTAGCAGTCGATTGTACCTGTTTTAAAATTTCTTCAACATCAATATTTGAAAATAGGTGGGAGAGAATTTGAGACAGTGTTAATATTTTGCTGATCCACTGAAAATGGAATAGCCAGTCAATTTAAGGGCAACAGCTTGATACTTCTCCCAGGAGTAAAAATGTTCATCCTTACTTGAGAAAAAAAACAACAAAAAAACAGTCCCTTATAAACTATAGTCATTATTGATGCCATGTTCTCTCTGCAGTCTGCTTTGGCTTTATTACAACATTCAATCAATGGGTCTTAACATTTTTTTAAAAATTAACACCCAACCAAAAAATAGACTTTTAAGTGTTGAATAGTTTCAAGATGCGGCATCTTAATGTGGCGCATTCTAATTTATTTCATTACGTCCTAGCTTTTGGCCTTTCATTTAGACATATACAATGACCAACCTGATGACCTCCTGCACCAGCACTGTGTTCATGGACTGCTCATACATCACTGGGTATTTCTCCATGACCATTGACAGATTGACAGCTGTAGGCATTTGATCCAAGATTTCCAGTGCTGTTTTTTCCATCACCTTTAAGAGATTTACATAAGATTAACTAATGAAGTCAACTAGGTTCAGTTTTTGTCGTTAAAATTGTGCTGTGATTGCCAACATTATTGGAGATTGTAATCTCCCGCAAGCATTAGTTAGTTTCCAGTGACCCACCCCACCACCCAACTCTGCCACACAAGGTAAATGAAAATCAATGCACATATTTCCAACATAGTACTCTACAACTCTATTTTGATATAAATACAAAATTTCAAATAATTAGTACTATATGATAATAATAATCAGGAGCTATTGGTATGTAATGACAAATAGACCTTTTCTTTGCACACTACCCCTGGCCTCATAACAATGTAGACCTCCAGAGGTAAGCACTATGGGGCAAAATGATATGTAACCAACCTCTTCTCTAGACTTTCCACCACCTGATGCTGTCTTTGGCTGAAGCTGAACCAAAGCTCTCAAAACATTGAAAGTCTCATTCTGAGCAAATGTGATGTTCGCATTTTCATGGAGACCAAAGATCTCTGGGGTGTCATTGATGGGCAAACTCCTGATGTAGTTTAGATAGCCCTGTGGCCAGAGAGATGGAAGTTAATTTGAAAAAAAACTATCTTTGGCAGTTATGTTTTAAAACTACATCTTTCGTGCCTGGATCTTTAGTTATTAAATATTTCTTAAATATTAATTAGAATAACAAATTAAACTATATTGTTTATGACATTGATGGTAGAAAATCCTTTTTTTTTTCCTTTTACCAAGTAATAGGTCGTAAGAGAAAAAAGATAGCCAGAATGAGTTAAAACATGCCACAGAAATAGTAAGTCATCTCCACTTCCTGGGCTGTTGGATCTACACTATGTGTACATATGTCTCACTTACACTGAGTTCCAGATCTGGGTTGATCTGCTTGTATATGCCAGACTCTGAGTACTTGAAGTCCTCCACTGTGACTTCAGGGTTGTAGAATCCACCTAGGACATTCATGAGACAACGCCTGTCCCAGTCATCAGTCACACGGCCTCCATAGTTAATGTGACCAGCCGTGTACACCAGTACCTAGTCCAGGATGGCAATGAAACAGCTTTTGAAATTCTGGTGACTAGAGCTAACATTCAAAACATTCAATATATATATATTGTATTTAAATATTCAAGGTGTCACATATGTTCTTCCTATTTCATTCATACTGCTTGAAGACAATCTCTACTATATTGATGATCAAAAGTAGGCCTACACCATATATTGTCACAAGCCATGTAGTCTTAAGTTCCCTTTTAATGCAATCTAAATTTCTGCCCACTGAGCTGCTGATTACCTTGAAAGGTATATCTGCATACTCCATGAGGAACATCTTCAGCTGACTGACACAAATACGCAGGTCACCATCAGTGAACTCGTATGGAATGTTGAATCCAAGAGCTCCAAATTTACGTCTTTCAATGATGACACCATGGAAGAGGCACAGAGACAGCAGCAGGTGTTTAAACTCTGCAACCTAAAACAGAAAATGCAACACAATGCATAAAATTGGCTCACATATAAGAAAGATTGGATTCATCTTGCTAAATGTATTTGAACTGAAGGTAGAATCTGCCTAGTGTCTTCTTTTGACACAATGTCATTGACAGCCACTGTTTCTAAGGAGCTCACCCTGTCTCCACACTGATTGAGAAAGTCATCAGTGAAGCCCATGTAAGATCGTAATAGGTTGGCCTTGATACCCTTGGGTGGCTCTACCGTCATCTTGGAGCTGTTCTGGAGAATGAACACTGGGAACTTCTCACTGGGCATGCTGGTCAGCCACAGACGGAAATCTCTATGAACCTACAACAACAGCCCATTACAATTAATGATTTTTTATGTGTTATTTAGATATTATGTAAATCAAATATTAATCAAATGTGAACTAGGCACAAAAAATATTTAAGACCTTTACAATGAAGAGCAGAGGTTCATATATATGCTATGTTAAACATCAACATTATTGATAACCCTTAGTTTTTATTGATAACCTTTAATTTAATTTGTATTTAACAGCATCAGAATATGTTTTATGTTTAGGAATTTAACCTTATCTGGATCTATTTGTTCCACCAGTCTCTCTAGCATTGGCATGAAGCTTGGTGCCAGGTGACAGTTTTGGAAGAAGACCCATTTGCCTCGTTCCATTGATGACTTCATCATGGCCTCAGCTCGAGGACCCTGTACAAATATTAGCAAGTAGTCAACTCGGACACTTGTACATTTAACAGTCTTTGACACACAAACACAATAATAAAACTTTTTAAAGTATTTATAAACACTGTAAAAATCATACTACATGTAAATCATAAAAATACAAAGCATAGGTTACATTTTAAAAAGCTATTACCTGTCCTTGACCGAGTGAAATGGCTGTGAGTTTCTTAGAAAATCTCATGACTTCAGCAAATTTATAAAGGTCATTAGCAGGGTCAGTTCCCTGTGACAGAACAAAGACCAGTGGTGTAGTTGGAGATGAATCTTTGTACACAAGGCCAAGGTCAGATGTCTGTGGTTCAATAAACCTCTGACCCATATTTGCAGCAACATAATCTTGCATGGCATTGGACACTTTGTCAGGACGTAGGGCTTTCAAGACGATTATAGCTTGGAATTTGTCTAATTCTTGAGCCCAGATGCCTGGAAGTTCTTCCCTATTTGATGAAAGAAACAATTATTAATATATAATATATGGTGAAAAATGCAAAAAATAATGTTAGAAAATAAAAAATTATAAATTGCCACCAGGAGTGAAATGTCCGCTCAACTGAACAGCGAAATCATGTTAAAATTTGTTAATATTCAGACTCTGTTCACACAAGGTTCTTTGCCAATATAAATGAAATGTGAAATCTCATTAAGTAATTTTATATTGGTACCTGTGAGGTTCAGCGCTGTCAAATATTCTCTTGAATCCATCCAGGTGATTCTTGAAGTCCTCAGCAAACTTGGCAAACCTTGAAAGGGATGGTAGTGTGAGGATCTCATTCCAAGATCTTTCAGAGATCCACTCTGGGGCTGGATTGGGGAGATCTTTAGGCCTGATGGTTCCACCAGCAATCAACAGTCTCCACTCACTCTGTGAGATAAATGTTCAAAGCTTTTTCAACAACTCTTGGCTTAAGTGGCCATTTTTGAATTGTGGGTCATAGTTACCAAGTCAACATTTGAAGCTTCCATTATTGTGTATTTTGATATAGTCTCCATAATGATATAACTCCAACAGTTGCTTCCCTTTACTAAGAGTTTCAAGCACTAAGGGTATTGTCTACACTTGTGATAATGAAATAAAACAAATATTCCCTTGCCAAGAGCGGAAATTAGAAGGTCACCGTTATCATCTTATTTAATTTTTAAAGCCAAAAGATATACATTATATGTTAACAGTTTCTCTGGTACAATACTGAACTGGAAACATATAAGGACAGATTTGATTCCAGCTTTAATCAATAATAAGCAATATTTAATTTTTAAAGCCAAAAGATATGCACGATATTTTAACAGTTTCTCTGGTACAATACTGAACAGGAAACATATAAGTACAGGTTTGATTCCATCTTTAATCAATAATAAGTAACATCCCCACAATCCCATGTAATCCTAACTGCTTTTTGCTTTACAACTACTGGCACCAATGAAAGCAAGAAGTTCCTCAAAACATACTCCATTGAAACTTGTATTGCTTTACTTAAAATCTCTTAAATGAGATAAATTGTTGATCTAGTGAAATAATTAATTACTTACCATGTCGATGATGCCCTGGTGAGTCTGGATGCGGACACACAAGAGAAAAGCAAACAGGAGTTTGTGTTTCTCAAACAAGCTGCGACAGACATTGGAGTACAAACTGAACGTGAAGAAGTTGTTTATGTTTGTGATCCTCTGAGGAATGTTGTCTGTTGATGGAAATATTTGCAAGAGTGAATATCAAATATCCTACTTTAATATAAGATTTAAATTTAATGCTGATTATGTCAGTTGGTCTTTTACTATATTCAGCAGATTAATTAATAAATGATATGATGATGATAAAAGATTCTTATAATTATTTTATAAAATTGTGTAAAGCATCTGGTCAATGAAACTAGTTCCAGAAGGTATATTATGCATGGGCATAATTATTAGAATTATATTTTTTATTTCATAATATTATTAGTCTAGCTAATGAGGAAAACCATCAGTTTTAGGAAAATCATCCCTCCAAACTTTTAGATGATAAAAAGTAACTGCACCATATAACTGACCAATGAATGTCGTACCTGCTCTCTCAGCCTGTGATATGCCACCCAGGAAGATGGTGATAAACCACTCCAGCGAATATTGATACATGGGGTCAATGTTTGCCATGTCAGCCACACAGAAAAACAAAATCTGGGTGTTGACAGCTACGGGAATGTATTGACTTCTGGTCCTGTCGATGTCTTTTTCAGTCTGCTCAGCCACTTGTACTTTAGCCTGGTGGTAGGAATATTGAAAAGCACTTTAGTAGACAACCCAATAAACAAAAGTGTGGTCAGTGCAACAGATGAGCCATGAAAGAAATGTGGATACAGTGAAAATTTATTCTTTTCAGAACATCAAAGCCTCTTATTCAGAGCCTTTTTTTAAAAAATGTATTTGACTAATTCTACTAAAACTCAATTGAAACAGTTCAAATGATAGGATCAGATTATTTTCTGGGATGATTTGTGAGTCTAATATGTTCCTCATATGGAATGTTGGTAACATTTTTACTTTTGTTAAAATAACCAGATTGTTTTCACTATTTACATTCCCTTGTTTGGTTATTATATGTATGTATATTTAGCTTCAGAGTGCTTGAAATGATTTTCCATCTCCTGATTGGTTATCAATTTGGATTTCAGTATTTTCTGCCCTTGCATAGAACTGAAACTACTTTTAGAAAGAAACTTTCGGAAATAGATAGAATTTTAAATAATAGTTGTTTTTTTTAAATATTCTGAAACAATGAAAACATTATCTACTAACAGTGATCTCCTGGGATTTGATCTTAGAAGCTTCCAATGTTTGTATCAAATCAATGTCATCTACAGGACTTCCTTCTGATGAGCTCAGTCTGTGCAAGATGCGATCTTCAATCTCCTTCAGTTCTTGCTTCATCTTGGCATTGCTAACAATCAACTGGTTCTTGGCCTCTTCCAAGTCAGGTCTCTCCTCAGCCACCACAATACCCAGCAGTTGATCCTCCAAACCACTGGACATTGAAAACAGTCAGTTTATTGTCATCATCATAAAAACTATTTGTATAAATGGTTGTGATTATGAAAAATAAAACATGTATATAAATCACTATGGTCAAGTTGAAAGAAACAAATCACTGTCAATAATAAATACAAACATAATAAATGAGTATAAATACAAAAATAATAAATGAGTATTATACATGCTAATCTAAATCTCTATTTTAATTGGTTAAGCAAGCAAATGGAAATATTAAAAGAGATGCTGAAGCGTCAAACCTTGGAGAGAGAGTAAAATTGACCAGAGTTACTTTTGTGGAAACCTCTGGTGTGTAATGAGGGTTGGGTAGTTTGGTGGTCATGTAGAACTTGAAGTCATCATGATAGGGGATCACTGCATCTCCCAACTTAATCACAGTGCTACCTTGAAGCTTGTAGGTCTGTGGTGATAACAAACAATTCAAGGATATAGTAGTCTCTGGGTTATACAGTGTGAGTGCAGTTTGATTTCTCAGATTGACTAAAACATTTGCACAGTTCTGTTATAAGCATTGAAGAAACTGACAATTTAAAAAAATAGCTTTTTTAAATAAACGATTAATTAAGCTGTAAGGAACAGGTCTAAACTTACAAAGGTTGTAAATTTGATGTAAGAAAATGTGTGATTCAGGTTGGCCTTCTCTTCTTTTCACCAAAGATAAACAGTTTTGGCATGTCCAAGTTTCTACTTTGGACACCAATTTGGCTGATCAGTTGAGGTTACAGGCAGCAGGCACATTATGTTTTTGCTTCACCAGCTCAAGAAGAATTTTGCTTGTTGATTTTTAGAGCAACAGCTTCACAGTTCCCCAAAGAGAAGATAACTTGATAGAATGATCTTATTTTTATCTCCAAACACCATTGCCAGAAACTTGACAGCTCAAATTAGGTAAGAGAGAAAATGATTTTTTTGTATATATAAATGCACAATTTTTCGGTGTGAAAATAACTTCCTGCAATGTTACAATGTAGTATTTAATGTGATAAGCTATCTGTAAATACCTGTCTTAAGAGAATGGGTTCCAGGGCGGGATCAAGCTCAGTGCTGATATTCTCTAGAAGGCAAGGTTTACCAAATCTCACAGCATTTTCCAAACTACGCAGAAAATCTTTATCGGACAACTTGATGACATCAAGACCAGCTTCACGCTCCTGGGTACGAAAAGTGAGAAAAGATTTGATAAAAATCAAGAATCATATCTAACTTTATTTATACAGGGAAATCAGAAAAATAATTTTCATTGGGGTTTTATAATGTACAGCCTACAGCAAATATCATTATTTTAACACTATAGCATGTCTTTCATGTACTAAAAAATAATTCACTCACTAAATTCTTTATTTTGACTATTTAAAAGTGGCATTTATTAAAGAAATTTTGTATTGCTTATAAAAAAGTTACCAAAGTCTTTTGACACACAGCTTGTGTGTTCATTAGCAGTCGTTTAATAGTTGCAACTGTACATAGTTTTAAGTTCATGAGGACAAAGTTAATGAAAACTGACCATGTTCTTAATCCACTTGTTGGCTTGACCTTGTGGGTCAATGAAAAGTGACCAGCGCCTGGAGTACTGAACAATAACACCATTCTCTACTGAGTAGTTGTCCTTTGGTAGACCGGCAATCTGCCAGCTACGGATCTTGACCGGCTCACTCATGGTACCAACAAGTGATGGCTCTTCTGTACGTGGCACATAACACTCATCAAGTTTGGTAATCCAGCTTGACACCATATTGTTGCGGTAAGCTCCCTGATGGTTTTCAAGTAACAAATGGTATAAGTATAAATATTATTAAACAGTTAAGGGTATATGGGCAAATTTGGATACCCACTGTTGTAAAAATGGGTTACTGAGGATCACTGGCATAGGAAGGGTGGGACGGATGGGGCGGCCTGCCCCGGCTGGTTCTTTTTTTCCTTATTTTGAGGACGGCATTTTCTACCAACTCCAGATTTTTTTGTTGGGTGAGGGTGACCAAAATCTCGGCCCACCCCTGACAGCACTAACCCTAGCCACGTCACTGCTGAGGATCCATTTTGTAGTATCCACCAGTGATGTGTAAAAAAAATATAACCAAGGGCATAGCCTGAAGTTGGTATCAAATACCAAAAGTATAATTTCTTTAGATTTGTTAGCACCAACACTAACTGTAAGTGCCAAAACAGAAAATAGTCCAGATAGAAACATTTGTAAAGGACTTATTTATATGAACTTGATACATACTATAAAAATCATCTTTTCAAATATGATTGTAATGAATATTTAAGGACACCTTGATTTTTTGTCACTGAACCCCAAAAATGTGTTGCCCCCCCCCCCCCCCCCCCTTCCCAACTTTAAATGGTGTCAACTAACAGAATAAAGTTTTGTAAACTCACAGTGAAAGGTCCCAAGTAGGCTATACATCCTGATGACACCAATACGTCACCAACAATGTTACCAATAATTTTATCCAACTTATCCACAGCTTCCCTCCACCTGTCTTTCTCATCTGCCAGGCCACCAATCAGCTGTGAATATAAACAAGCAGCCCTGTAGCCATTGCAAAACCGAGCAATATCAGCATAGTGAAGTCAACTAATTGTGGTTCAATCCCCATTTTTTTCAGTAATATGTAACAATTTTTAATTCACTTTAGAAGTAATCTTCTTTTGAATAAAGTGTAATGAAAACAAAATTTAGAGATCTGAGTATAAAAAAGTAAAACTGTTTTTCTCTAACAGTTGATTGGGCTTAAAGCAGCCAATAAAGTGTTGCAATGAGTGAGGAATTAGATGACACTCAAAATTACAGGCCCTGGTAGAAATGTCTTTATGAAATCTTTACAAAAATATACAGAAATGTGCACAAAACTTTACAACCATATTTTTCTAAATTGATTGCCCCCCCCTTCCCCCCCCCCCCCACCTTTTCCGACCCTCACCTTGTCAGCTCAAGAAATGTCTTTATGAAATCTTTACAAAAATATACAGAAATTTGCACAAAACTTTACAACCATATTTTTCTAAATTGATTGCCCCCCACTTCCCCCCCCCCCCACCTTTTCCGACCCTCACCTTGTCAGCTCTGATCAACCTGGCCTCACACTCTTTACATTTGTTTTCCAGCTCATCCTTCTTCCTGACACAGTCGTCGTACTTGGCCTGTAGAGTGGCAATGCCCTGCTCCACCTCCTGCAGCCTGGACTTGGCAGTGTCCAACACCCGCTGTGTCTCTGAGAGTTCTTCTTGGGCAATGCGAAGTTTTTCCCTCTTGGGAGCCACACTCTTGGCCACAAAGTGATATTTGTGCATGGCCCTCACCCACTGGCAGATGGAGGTGCAGGCTTTGGATACCTAGAGCAGAGAGTAGTCAGTACTTATTATGTTAATATATTGTTAATCTTAAATATTCTTAAATTATCTTCAGCTTAAAACAGTGAGTAATATTTGCACAGACCTTATGGTGGATTTTAATTAAAATATTCCATTTTTCTTGTAATTTATTAAAGTCTGTCAACATGTGTGAGTTTGTCTTGTGATAAATGTAAATATATCAATATTTTCAAATAAATGAATACTTAAGTATTTATATCAAAATTATTAACAAATTAATACTTGGAGAAAGAAATATTTGAGAATCATTTCCATTAACTAAGATAACTTATACCTTGACTATGGCTGAGACAACTTATAACTTTGCTATGGCTGAGACAACTTATACCTTTGCTATGGCTGAGACAACTTATACCTTGGCTATGGCTGAGACAACTTATACCTTGGCTATGGCTGAGACAACTTATACCTTGGCTATGGCTGAGACAACTTATACTTTTGCTATGGCTGAAACCACTTTACCTTGGCTATAGCTGTTGGTGTAAATGACTCATCATCAATGTATGGTTGAATCTTCTTGATGACCTCATCTGGAATGTTGTCTTTGTCATATTTGAACAAACTTTCCAAGAATTTGGTTGGGTCTTGCAATAGAGCTTTACCCGGTTCCCAGAAATCTTCCACCTTAACACCTGGCTTATCCCCAGCAACCTTCTTGCCTTTTACATTCTGTTAAAAGTGCAAAAGAAGTTTTATTTTAGATGTCAGCTGCTCACTTAAAAAATATTCCTTCTGTTCTTTTACATTCATGTAATGTTAATATGTTATTGCGTGACCCAAAATTACACCCTAAACCAATGGTTTCTTAAATTTAATTTTACTTAATCTCATATTTAAAAAAAATAATTTGTAAGCTTCACAAACAAAAGCAAGACTTACCTTCATGATACAGACTGCCTCAATGACAAGTCTGACACCATCTGGAGGTCTCTGCAGGGCTCTCACTTCAACCACATCACCTCTGGTCAAAGACTTCAAGCTAGCAAGGGCGGCATCCTGGGAAAAAGTTATTTATATTGATTGGTAAAGGTGGCGAGTAGTAGATGAAGACGAGTCAGTGATATAATTGTGATGTTTAAATAAAGTAAGGCTGGGAGTTAGGATATTATCTTGACTGAGACACAATCAAATTAGGTAGATATTTAATAAAGTTCTGGTATCAAATCTAAAATTAAATAATAAAATTCAATAATTGCTTGGAGAACAATCACCATCTACCATCTTCGTCGGTTACATATTCTAGCAAATATAGATGAAAGAGTGGCATTTCCAAGAAAAGAGATTAAATAAACTGATGTTTAAAATTTAAACTATTACAGCTGGAAGGGTTTAAATTATTAAAGCTGGGAGCATTAAAAATCTCACAGCTGGGAATATTGAAATTATCACAGCCTGGCAGTGTTAAACTATCAAAACTAGGAGTATTTAAACTATCAAAGCTGGGAGTATTTAGAATATCACAGCTGGGAGTATTTAAATATCACAGCTGGGAGTCTTTAAATTATCACAGCTGGGAGTGTTTAAACTATCACAGCTGGGAGTGTTTAAACTGGTACAACTGACCAGGGCTGGCAGGGCTTCATTCAAGTCTCTCTGTGCGTCATCAGCAATGGCTTGGGTCTCAACTGCCTTTTTGGTGGCCTGCTCCTCTTCTTTCTGTACAACTGCTTTGGTTTCCTCAGCTATTTTCTAATAGAGAAAACCATAGAAGAGCATTAGAAGAACTGCACACTTTTCTTCTAAATGTTATAAATTTCTTTTAATGCAAATCTTTTGAGTAACAGCCTTTGAAATTCAACTCTTTAAAAAGAGAAAAATTTAAAATTTATTTCATTATAGTATATTATACAGATCAATAAAAAAAATATTTCAATAAATTTTAGTCAAAATTAAAAATATAATTTTAAACTCTCTCAATTTAGGGATCCACCCTTGATAATGGCTTGTTATAGAAATTTTGCACTCTTTTATCAACAGTGGAAATAAATAAAAAATGAATCAATGAATAGGATATTTACAAAATTTCTCTTCACAACCATTTCTTACAGTGTCTTTTGAAATTTTCTCCATGGTGGTGATAGATTCTTTGACTGCTTCCTCCAACATGGGCCGCATTGTGGCCAGCTCTTCCTGTAATTTTCCTACTTCATCAGCGGTTGTCAGCAACTGAAAATCAGTTAAAATAATTAAGTTCCACCAACTTTCACTTAATTGTTTAAAATAATAAACCTGTCACACTTTGAAATGGTTTGAGAATATTTTAAAAGGTTGCCTTTATATCAGGGCAGTAAAAATCCATAATCTTAGTCCATTAATAAGAGTTTGACTATTACAGAGGTTCTCACTAAGATAAGTATCTCATTTACTTAAAGTTAAAATTTTTAAAACTACCTTATTCAAACCACCCTTGAGTCTTTTCTGTGCTGAACTGAGCTCATCTTTCTTAAAACCAACCAACTTGGAGAAGATGCCCAGCAGCTCCAAGTAACTTGTGGGGGTGACATAGTTGTGACGTGACATTTCGGCCAGGAACTTGGCAGAGTTGACAGTGACGGACTCATGGATTATCTGACACATGGACACCTGGATGTGCAAGAAAATATTAAAGATTGTATTCACTGTGACTTAGGGGTACACATCTCACTTTCACAGATATCATTTAAATAATAAACCATTGTACTTTGATTTCTTGATGTGATGTAATTTATCCTCTTCTAAATTCCAAAGTCCGTAGAGTGAAAAGTCTATAAAAGATTTTATTTTTAATTACAAATCAATCGGATTTTTTTTTAAAGTTGTTACACACGATGTCTTAAACACAGTCAAAGATTGATATTTGCCTTAATTCCAACTTTTTGAAAAACAATTGTACATTGATTAATTAAACAACTTACCAAGCCATCCATAACAGTGTCAGTTGTGTCAAGTGCAGGTATGTCATTGAGGAATCTCAGAGCTACAGATTTGAGGGCATCAGCTGGCCACTGGCTAAACCAATCAATTGTGCAACAGTTGACCAGGGCTGGGAACTGACGGAGTCTGGCACGGAAAATTTCACCAAGTGGACTGAGGAAAATAGGAATACATTATTTTGATGTGCCATTGAAAGCTTTGACTTGTTCTCTTTACAGGTTAAAAGCTGTGGATATTGTTTTTTTATTCTATTTTTTGAATGATAATTAATTGTTAATTTCATCTCCAAAGTATACTATAAGCATTTTTTTCAATTTTTCAAAGCAGGTTGCTGAGAAAGATTGCTATTCATACTTTTATATATGTTCCGATATAATACAAAAAATGCTAATGTCATGTGAAGGCTTCCTTATATACTTAGACAAAGATAAAATCAGTTGTTGATTACCCATCAATCCTTTTATCCTAGGGTGAGGACATTAGTTCCCAAGACCCCATGGAAAGTAAACTGTTAATAATGTATGTAATTTTTCCACCAAACTAAAATATATTTTGTGGTTAACAGCACTTTTGACATTAATACGTATTGGGATTTAATTTCAATGTAAACAATTTTATTTGAGCCCAAGAAAATAAGTTAAAGGCCATCTTTTTTAGAAGAGCCATTTAAAAAAAAGGAATTTTAGCTCCGAGTGATAATTGAGGAATGGTATAACTATTAATTCTCTATGTATGAAATAAAGCAGGGTGTAATGGTGAGTTCAATAGTCCACACAAAAAAATTCCTGATACCTGCACTAAACATGATATTTTTAAAATACTGCAAGTACATTTGGTGCATAACATTTTCTCTTGTTTTATGGAAATAGTCTAAATTTAAATATGGTGCAAAAAATCTGCCACGCTAAACTAGTAAAAGGAGGTAAAATAAATAAAGTTCAGGAGTGTGGGAAAAAGTGTGTGGTAAAATAACTGGGGGAGGGGTAAGCACTAACTGGGATTTTTATTAAATTTGTAACTTGAATGCATGTTTTGTCAAGTAACTTAAGTAGATGGCAAGTTCACACATTGCTTTCACCATCTCTTTGGCAGGCTATAACTAGTTAAAACATAATATTGAGTTATAAAAAATACATAACAACTGTATGCTAAAAGCCTTGTGTCACGTATGTTTAAAAAATGCCTTACACACCTCATGGCCAGCACAGTGTGTAAATTGCTGCGCACTCGTTTAGTGTAAGCTGAGAACAAGTTAGTCTTTGTTGGCTGCATTCCCAAATCTTGGACGAAGGGTTTCATATCCGTGTAAATTTTCTCCAGCTCATCAAAGCCATAAATGTTGGGCACATCACCAGCATTGAGGATGTTGTTGATGTCTTCAAGGAAAGATTCACTCTTGATCTGGAATTCAGTTTTCATTCATGAATATATATGGTGGGCACATTTTACAACAAGATTTAATAGTCATCAATATGTTACAATTATTTAATGTCCAAAATATAGAAATATCTATTCAGGGTCATTTATTAAGAAAAGTCACCAGACATAGATTCTACTAAGAAAATATAATTTGCTTTACAATTATGTTTATTTAAATTCTTTCTTGTTATCTTAAGTTAGTTATTTACTATTTTCATGTTTAATGCATTGAACTTTCCATACTTTTAATCTATTAGTTCAAAAGGGACCACCTAATATACAATAATAGGAAATTTACAAGTGTTTCACAATTTACCCATGTATTCCTAGATACTTGTTTATCACCAATTACCAGTGTGTCATTATTTACCTGTGTATCACTAAATAAGAAAACGACTGGTTTGTTCTCCAGGCCGGCCTTCATCATGACCTTTCTCAGATCCTCCCTCCATTCAGATGGCCCATAGTTTTTAGCCAGCTCAATCTGGAAACAGTCATATTCTGTCCTGTAAAATAATAAAAAAATAGTTAGAATGCTTCATGCAATCGTAAACTGAATAAGTCATTATCATATATGAGGAATGCCTAAAAATATATTTTATGTAGCCTACACTGAATGCAAATTTCAGTAAGACTCTTACAAAGAAATAAATAAACTTTTCAGTGATTTTATTAAATATATATTTTTTGTCTTAAAAGTACGATAGAGTCTCCATACCAACAAATAGTTGTTTTTTTTAAATAGATCTTTAAGAATAAATAATACTTGATTATAACTTTAACTTTAACATGCTGGTAGCTAAATAAATAAATTGCCTCCACTAATTAGAGTAATATCTTTTAGATGACAGTCATCTGCTCAGCTTACATGTGTGCAGCCAGTCGGGTCAAGCTCTGCCTGCCACTACCTCCCATTCCTAGCAGAAGTGCATTTCCCAATGGCTGACGAATGATCCTGGCAATACGGCTGACATGAGTCACAGCATCCATGAACAGGACAAGTCTCATCTGGGCTGTGTTGACCTGGTTGTAGTCCTCCAGAAACTCATCCAGTGTTTTCACAAGCTGTCAAGAAATCAAACACAGTAGCATGTACATTGAATTACTGATGAATTTAAACTATTTGATACTTCTTTGATTTTTGTGCTGATCAGTTCTTGTAATGTAAGGTAAATATATAAGTTAAATTACACATAGAAGAAAAAAAATAATTAGATCATTGCCCTCATATAGATATATTTTTATTAAAAATTCTGCAATGTTATGTCATAAAGTGTTTTAAGAATGAAATTCAAAGCTGGTCAAGATTTTCCAATGCTTATGATTTTACTTATGATAGAATTTTTTTTTAGTTAAAATTATGTAAGGAAGAGACATGAACCAATTGTGTTGCTTTCCCCAACCTTTTCATGATCCTCTATCAGATTGTAAGGCCTGGGGTCTAGATTTGCATTCATGAAATCACCAAAGATGACTGGCTTCTGAGTGACCACATCTTCAAATTTGGTTTTAAAATCTGATTCCATTTTGTCTTTCAGCAGGTTCTCAAACCAGTTGCGGTCCTCATCATTGACAAGACGATCCTGGAAGACACGGCAGCTCTCATGGTAGAACAGTCTCAACAAATCATTGATGCCCTGAAAATTAAAAAATCATTTTAAGGAAAAGCTTCAGGGTTTGAAAATAATGTTTATTCAAGAAAGATTCCCCCCCCCCAAAGTTAGTATTCAGGGTACTTATCTTGTAATCATTTACTCTAAGACTAAGTGCAAATCTTAGTAACTAATTTCTCATGATTAAGTTATAAAATATGAAATGTGTATTTTTTTCTTTTTTTTTTAAGAACATTTTAGTTTTGGTAAATGTATTTTCTAATGTGTGTATGCAAACTTTGCAAGTACTTTTTATTAATTGTGATGTATTATTAAAATTATTATACTGCTATAATCTGAAATATTGTAATTTTTTTTTGTTGCTGTTGGATACACTGGTATGCACTTGGTGTAAACTAGTATGGAAATACTTGTTTGTAATATTGTGTCAGTGACGAGCACCAATTGTTAGAGGAATGCTATGGGTGATTACTTTGATGCTGTCAGGCTGACACATGAGTATCCCCTGGAAGACTTTGGACAGATCTCTCAGATTGAATGTGTAGTGAGACTTGGCGGGGGTCGGCAGGAGCTGGGTCTGAATGGTGTTGTACATGGAGATGCATGTGGTGACCATGGCCTGGCTGTACTCGGTCACAGATGGAGTCAAGGCTGGGAACAGAATGAAAAATACAATGGGATGGCTTTACAAACTTTTTAGCACAAAGACCCACAAAGGGTAAATGCAGCTCCCAGTTATGGATTGTTAGTTGATTATTTATTTTTTTTTATCCATTATCAGCTTCTGTGGCTTTGATTTTCATATATTCGATATATTTTACACATTTACACACGTGCATGTCTGGATATTGTAAATCTTTTATCTACCTTGACCAGTAGGTAGTTTTATAAGGCATGCATTAGTCAGCATTTACACATTTCTGGGCCCTAGCCCAAAGCACACATTTATGGGCCCTAGCCCAAAGCACACATTTATGGGCCCTAGCCCAAAGCACACATTTCTGGGCCCTAGGCCAAAGCATACATTTCTGGGCCCTAGGCCAAAGCATACATTTATGGGCCCTAGGCCAAAGCATACATTTCTGGGCCCTAGGCCAAAGCACACATTTCTAGGCCCTAAGCCAAAGCATACATTTCTGAGCCCTAGGCCAAAGCACATAAATCTGGGCACTAGGCCAAAGCACACATTTCAGGGCCCTAGGCCAAAGCACACATTTCTGGGCCCTAGGCCAAAGCATACATTTCTGGGCACTAAGCCAAAGCACACATTTCTGGGCCCTATGCCAAAGCACACATTTCTGGGCCCTAGGAAAAAGCACATAAATCTGGGCCCTAGGCCAAAGCATACATTTCTGGGCCCTAGGCCAAAGCACACATTTCTGGGCCCTAGGCCAAAGCAAAAAGCATACATTTCTGGGCACTAAGCCAAAGCACACATTTCTGGGCGCTATGCCAAAGCACACATTTCTGGGCCCTAGGAAAAAGCACACATATCTGGGCCCTAGGCCAAAGCATACATTTCTGGGCACTAAGCCAAAGCACACATTTCTGGGCCCTATGCCAAAGCACACATTTCTGGGCCCTAGGCAAAAGCACATAAATCTGGGCCCTAGGCCAAAGCATACATTTCTGAGCCCTAGGCCAAAGCATACATTTCTGAGCCCTAGGCCAAAGCACACATTTCTGGGCACTAAGCCAAAGCACACATTTCTGGGCCCTAGGCCAAAGCACACATTTCTGGGCCCTAGGCAAAACCACATAAATCTGGGCCCTAGGCCAAAGCATACATTTCTGAGTTTAGTCCAAAGCACATAAATCTGGGCACTAGGCCAAAGCACACATTTCAGGGCCCTAGGCCAAAGCACACATTTATGGGCCCTAGGCCAAAGCACACATATCTGAGCACTCAGCCAAAGCACACAAGGGCCCTAGGCCAAAGCACACATTTCTGGGCCCTAGGCAAAACCACATAAATCTGGGCCCTAGGCCAAAGCATACATTTCTGAGTTTAGGCCAAAGCACATAAATCTGGGCACTAGGCCAAAGCACACATTTCAGGGCCCTAGGCCAAAGCACACATTTATGGGCCCTAGGCCAAAGCACACATTTCTGGGCACTAAGCCAAAGCACACATTTCTGGGCACTAAGCCAAAGCACACATTTCTGGGCCCTAGGCCAAAGCACATAATGCTTGGCCCCTTCTCCCTGCCCTCAAAAAGTTAATTGATAAATTCAAATTTAATATATAACAGTTTATTTTTTAAACATAATCACTTAATACAAACCTTATAATCTTTATAGCACATTATATTTTTATTTTAAATCTACTCTACTTCAGCATTTTATATGACATTCTCAAAAATAGTATCTATATCCTACTGAAAGGTTTATAAATTTTGGTTTTACTTTTTTTGTATATAAGGCCCTTGACTGCCATGCCCTAGGTTATTGCCAAGGTTGGCCCTATGGGAAATCTGGCTCTGGGCATGTGATTTTAATAATATTTTCAGAGGCAACTTAAATATAAAATGTGTTTGAAAAGATGACTCACTCATCCAGGAGTCCAGGATGGCTTTAAAGATGCGGCTCTTGCTTTCATCCTCCATCTCTGTGAAGGCCAGGTAATTAAAATGACGTAGCAGGCGAGCAGTGACAGGATTACGGCCACCTCCTGGTGGACCCATGGCACACACAAAGTTGACATCAACCAGATTGCGGAACTCACCTTTGAAAAAATTGAATTTAAGCCTAAATTCCTCTTATGATAATTATAACATGATGGCTAACTTGTTTGATAAGTAAAAATTTAAATAATAAATTTTTTTTTACTGCTCTTACAGTATTCATTTTGCAAAGTTTATAATGTTTGTATGGTTATTTAGCATCAAAATAAAAAAAAATTAATTGCATAACAACAATCCATATGTTTCAGCTGAAAATGAAACCTTAGTTAAAATAGCTACAGCCAACTCACCAATGGCCTTCCTGTCGTACCATCCCTTGAAGTCCATGTACTGTCTGATCAGTTCAATGGGAGGCTGGGCGCCATAAACCTCCAGGGCTGGCATGTTCACATCATCAATGAAGAAAACAAAATACTTGCCCAGTGGTGGACCAAACACACCTTTACGCCTGGGCAAGAAGTTGTATACATTTATATATGAAATTTAACTAGTCGGATCAGACTTCAAATGCTTCAGTTTTTTCACAATACGTGAGAATGTTATATAAATTAATGATAAAATACAGTTGATTTATAGAAAACATTTTAGCTGAGAGCTTTGTATTAGTTCAACTGTTGAGCAACTCTACCAGTAGTCTTGATGTCTAACCAATCTCTTGTCAAGTTATTAACTCTACCATTGAACCACTCTACAAATTGTCTGTTATCTGATCAATCTCTTGTCAAGTTATTAACTCTACCATTGAACCACTCTACAAATTGTCTTTTATCTGACCAACCTCTTGTCCAGTTTGCCATCAACCAGGTCTTGTGTCTGATTTGCACTTGTCTTGGCTGAGAAAATAATGAACTCCGGGACATATTCTTTGGGCATACTTCTTGACAACTTGTCTGCAATGGTCAGGGTTTTCCCAGTACCAGTTGGACCCACACACAACACCTAGGAAAATTTGTTAGTTAACTATTTGAATCAAAGTTTTATTAAATATCATGTCTTGGTCACCAATCTAAGGAGTCCTTGTTTTAGTACATTAATAAAAACGTTATTGAGAATGTACGAAATACATTCAATATTTATCCCCATCCGCCACAGCTGTATACTATGTGATATTGCATGGATCAGTAACTATCAGAAGCTAAACTGCTTTCAGGCATTGAATTATAAGAGTGAATATTTTCTTAATTATTAATGAAAAAAGTTAGTAAAAAGCTATAAGAAATCACTTGAGTATTGATGTGAAATGGTGCAACTTTTCAAAGCATTTGAAGAATTATTTAAATACATTTTTTCTTCTTTTAAGGATGTGAGTGAATACAAAATAGAGAAATGCCATGACTGTTTCTTATCTTAAAAATTGTCAAACTTTTCATGGCTGCAATTCAATTCTTTTAATTTATGTATACGTTTTCTGAGCATAACAAAAACTTACATTATTTGTTGCATAGTACTCACAGTTTTCTTATTGCTGACCAACATTTCCAGAACTTTGGCACTTCGAATTGTGTCAATGGTTGGAACAATAATGTCAGAGTACTTGGCATCAGAAGCAATGGTGAAAGTATCCATTGTGTCCACCCAGTTTCTCCATTGAACTTTCTGTCAGAGTTTGTAGGAATAAGTATGATAGAATCCTCAAATCAGGCTGTTATAATAAACTCTACAATGGACAGTATTCATAGTGGTGAGTATTTAAGTTTTTAAAATCATGAATGATCATCGGCATCACAGAGCTGTGGTGTAACATTTATATCCTAATAATAGGGGACCGCAGATTGAAATCTGTCCCCAGTAATGATGAGGGTAAAAAAATGAGAAGCTCCAGTTCCACCAGATTGACTGTGTGAAGTAAGAAGCTGTTGTACTGACAGGAAAGTGTCCCTCCACTGCAGTGTGAAGTGACCAGGAAGGAAATAAGCTAACACTCAACAGCTGTTCAGTTCAAATGAATTTATCCTTTGTTTGGCTCAGGTTACATCTTGTGTCGAGCAATCATCAACTTCAAACTCTAATTCTTAGTGTAAATAACAAATTGAATTTTTTTTTTTAAATCAAAAACATGATGAAGCTTGTAGCTAGACTGATACATTTTAGATTCATTCAAATCTTTGTAGTCTGTTCACAGCCTTCAATGCCTCAATAAACCACATAATCAATTCCCATTAAATATCAAAACATTCCAATGATTTCATGCTCTAAAACAACAATAAAAACTCTGTCTTTTTAAACACATCATATTTATAAGGCAGTAATGTGACAAACCATCCACCCTAACCACCCCAGAAAGCTTGACAACCTTTTTAATTTCCTCATCTTCCTCTTCAAGGCTGGAAGCAGCAGTACTACAGATTCCAGCATCATCCAGCATGTAGTCATAAACCAGGCCTGCCTCTGGAAACATCAGCTCAATCTGTTTGTAAAAATCAATGTAATCTTTACTGATCTTGTCAACACAACAAATGCCAAATGGCCCTCTCATCTTATATTAATTTAGCAATTACCTATCATCAACTTTTGTAATGGTTAATATTTTAATATAAATTTGTCAATCATTGATTGAGAGGTTATTACATTCCAAATGGAATTTTTTGAAATTGTTGGAAAATAAACCGTGGAGACAAGAATTTCATAAGGATCTTTCTAGGGGGAAAATCTCATTTATAATTAAATAAATAATCTTGGTAATGGGGCCTAAATATTTTTTAAATGTTCTGATTGGGTCACGTAAATGGGACATTGAGTCCTTCTGCCAGGTGTCACTGCTATACAAAAAACATACTAACATGTTCTAGTTCAACAATTAACAGCTCACCTTTGCTTCCTTCATTTTCTCTCTGAGCCACTGAGAAAATTTCTTTCTGCTATAATTGTCACATGTGGCTCCAATAGACCACACCAAGGAGAAGATAAACCATGGTTCAATTAGTTCTGTTATACGGGCCAAGAGGTCTTCTGGTATAGGTTGTTCCCCCTGGTTTAAAGATTTAGAATGATTTTATGAGATATAAATGCTAGTGCTTAGTTTTCTAAAGTTGGTGAGCACTGTGAAGGGATCATAAATAAATTATGGAATGTTTAATGTTTAAAAATCCATTTTTCAGGGAAAATGTAATTTATTAAGAGAAATATTCTGTTTATTCTAGCAAAAAAAAAATGATTTGTAGGAATTAACAAAGCAAGAAAAAAAAAGTTAATAAAATATATCTTATAATGTAAATAAAATAAGACACCAATAAGGCCATTACTTTATAACAAGCCTGCACAACTTACGGCCCGCGGGCCGCATGCAGCCAGCCACCACCCACTTTGCGGCCCGCGAAGGAACGAAATATTTTTTATTCTTATTATTTTCTTAAAGCTTTCCTCCATGTCTTGTTTTCTTTTGCCCGCACAAGTCTTGTCCTAATTTCTTTTGGCCCGCACAGTTTTTATAAAGTATTACGTCCTGCCTTACATTATGAATTGTGCAGGCCTGCTTTAAAATGTTGTAAAAAGTGAACATGGTTTTATAAACAATAACAAGAAATAATGCCACTGCTATTGGACTGTTGTGTGAAAGAAAGTATGAAAAAAAACAACTCATGCAACTGTCAAATAAATAGTATTTAACTTGAACATTTTTGAAAACTAAAAACAAATCATTGAATATTGTGAAATTAAATGAACTCCAGTGATTTGTGACAAGGTTTTTTTCTTCAAACTTTATGTCTCACTTGATATGCCAGAAGGATGCAGCTAGTTAGAGTTAAAATATAAAGAAGGAAATATTTAAATCACCATTTTGTCATGAAAAATGAGCTGACAAGATAGTATTTGAATTACTGCAATAAAGCAGTGAAGATAATAAATAGCTGCAGAAGAAATGTTCAAAATAATACAGTTGAAAATCTGATTAGTTTTCATCCATAAACAAGATAAAAAATTATCCCCTTTCTCACAACAGCTCAACCCTTCCCCACAGCCCAATTAATATATTTCCTACCATTATTCACAATCCACCTCTGTGACTGGTTATGGTAATGCTATGGATGTTAAATTTAATTTACTTAAGGTTTGATGTGGAAATATTTCAGATTTAGTAGCATTTAATTGATTACTATTTTCAAGTAAAAAAAATTTTAGAAAGCCTGTAGAATATATGTAAACATTCTTATATATATATATATATATATATATATATATATGGTGTCGCTAAGGTATAATAAAGTGCGTATCCGGAAAGTTAATCGAATGAAATTTCGTCGAAGTTACTATAATACCCAAAGATAATATTTTCTTGAAATCCGGGAATTATTAATCATGCTTTTTGTTTTTTACTGTCAAGATGCAAAATTTTACAATAGAGAAAAACACAGCCAGATACTCTTTTAAAATAAAGTTACTAGATGAAAGACATTTATAAAAATTAAAATATTCGTACAGAATGAGAATGAATGAATAAAAAATGTACGATGAATAAAAATGAAGAGATGTAATGACTATGAAATACAAAATGGAAATAAAAGATACATGAATAAAAATTATGAAACAAGGAAAGGAAAAGGTGATAAAAAAAAAATTAATAGGAAAGACTACAATGATACATAAAAAGGACAATTCTAAATTCACTGTCCTAAATATATTCTAAAGTCAATGAATGGGGTTGGGGGGGGGGATATTTTGAAGTTTTTGGGCTGCATTACATTACCAAAAGGTTTCAAAACAGAAAAGGTTAGAGCAGCTCTACTACAATAACTTTAAAACAATTAATACATGGCTAAAGAACTGAGTAGAATGAAAGAAGTAATAAAAAGAAAAAAGAAAATTAATTAGTTCATAACCAATTATCCTCATTGTTTTTGCTTCAAATTATTTGAAATAAAGATTAAATAGAACACTATTGACCTTTCTGAGTTTCAGTTCATTGTTTTGTATGAAACAGGTCTTATAGTATCAAATAATAATATATTATAGAATGATTGTTTCCAAGTGCAATCTTCTGTTGCTGAAATGAATATGATCCTATGAAAGAGGAAAACAAGAATCATATTTTTCCCCCAAGCTTCTAAGGAGAGCATGCTTATATATAGATGCATCTATAGAAATGTAAATATATATCATGAAGTTAATGTAATAAAAATGGTGTAATGTGAATTTTTTTTACAAACAATTTTTCTGTCATCAACGTTTTAAAGAAAATTTGGTACAGATATGAATAAATAATTGAAAGAAAAAGTATAGTTACATTATATGTTATAATATGGAAGAAAATGTTAATTGTGGCTACAAATGAAAACATGACAGATATAAAACAAGAGAATTTTTAATTGAAATTGACAAATAATGTAAAGGGCAGTGTTGAATAAAATTTACAGGAATAATGTTGATAATTGCAGCTCTACATGACATACTCACCACTTTTCGATAGCCCAATGGGTTCTACACAGACAAGCAAATATTGGTTTGTGTTATAGTGCAAGGAAGCACACACTTGTGATGTCAACCAAAACACAACAAGATATTTCACACAGTTTGACATATAATAAACTTATAATTTTTCAGTGATATTCATTGTTTTCAATTAGAAATTTATTTTAATTGTTTTTTAAATCCCTTTAATCAGGAATAATATGGTAATTTTGAAATAAAATGATGTCACATTTGAATTTACAACTGTACACTTGTTATTTTTTTCACTTGAAGTTACAAATTTTTTTTATTGTTATACTCAAATGAGGCAAAGAGACACTGCACACTTTTAAAAAAACTAACTAAAACTTATAAAGAATTCAATAAAATTAATGATGATTGGGTTAGATGTGAAGATGGGGAAGATTTGGGGGTAAAAAGCCTCACAATTGACTTTTCTTTTCTAGTTAAAACATACAAACATAGTCTATTTGTGTTTGAACACTTCCTTTTCTCAAAGATAACAAAAACATGTCATTAAAAAGTGATATTCAAGAAACAGTTTTTTTTAAACCAGGCATAATTAAAATGCACAAAAGAAAACAAATTATATCTTTACAAATCTTGTTGTTTTTAAAATCATTTGCTAACAAAATTAAGCCTAGAAGTTAGAAGCTTGAGATTCCTTATGCAATATTTCATCAGTTTCTTAAACATAACATCAGTCTGACCAAAGCCAATCCAAAACATTTTGTTTTTCTGTGAGATCTGTTAGCTTCATTATAAACCATTATGGCAAAGGACAATAGATTTTTATGTCATTTAAAGCAAATACAACACATTTTTCAAAATATCAAATAAAAAATTAAAACTTAATAAAAATATACAAGATTTTTTTGAAAATTCAGCTGAAAACTCAACAAAAAAATCATAATGAAAATTACCTCTTTTGGCATGAAGGGCTCAAAGAAGCACTCCAACAATTTAAGTAAAGAAAATACAAGGGCGCCATCTACTGTTGGGACAATTTCTCTTAGTTCCTTGCGTAAAAACTTGATGGCTGGCTAAAAAGTAGAGTGAGAGAGAGCTCATTGAAATGTTTTATATAATATGCTGGAAATGCATATGTACATTGTCATCAAAACTAATTTTATATTGTTTGAATCAATAAACGCAGGCATATCTAATATTAACTTATCTTATACTTAAATTATATAAAAATTGGTGATAATTCTATTTCATAATTATGATAAAAGTTTTTTGTTTTTTTTAATTATACCAAGGGTAAAATTTTGAAATGCAGAAAATACTCAGAACTATAAATATCTTACAGACATGAAGAAATTGAACAACTCTTCAAACTTTTCTTTGTACTGCCAGATTTGCTCTGGCACTTTCTTTAACCAACATTCAACAAAGGGATCCAATCCTATGTAGGAGGGTTCAAGGTACACCATACCACAGCGGCTGACTGTAGCAGGTGAAGCTACTGCAAGGTCAGCAACCTCAAACATCATGGTCATGGCCTGGAGAAGTTCACAGTGATTTTTAAAAAAATATAGTCTCTTACTAAGTTTATTTTTACAATATGTTCAAGAAAGTTAATTACAATAATAAATATGGTAATTTACTACAGGTGGCACTCACCTCAGTTAGTTTGATGATCTCTCCACTACTGAGACAAAGTTTTTTGTTATCATCCAGCACAGTGTTCATGTTTTCTATCCACACAGCGTCCACTGGGCCATCAAAAACAAACCATCTCTTGTCTTCATCTCTTGCTGATGCCCCAAGGCGAATGAGGGTGGACAGGATACCATCAGTCCTTCAAGATGTCAACAGGGGATGTATAAATAATGGATGCCAGCAAAATCTATTCCTCTTATTTACACAGTGATGGATCAAGTCAAAAACTGTAAAGGGCTATGGCCACCAGGAAAGTAATAGTTGGTTTGCTACACAATATTTAAAAAAAATTATATATTCCTGTAAATATATATTTCTTTATAGAATAAAACAGGAATGCATGTATATACTCTGGTGCCATATGCTCCTAAATTCATCACTATATTTTCATGTTAGTGTCAATTTACCACTCACTCAACCAATAATTGTCTTTTATAACTTGATAAAGAAAGGGTTTTGACTTAATTTTACTTCAACATAAAGCTAAAGCTTAAAGTACTATGCTTTTTTTGTTTTGATATTGACGTCACCAATTAAATGTGTAGCCTTGTACCAATCCCACCCTTCCTTCATTGGGAAAAAGTTGTTTACATTCTGATATATTCTATTTTGTTATAAAGAATGCTATCAAGTGATGAAATTTCTGGAGGGTTCAAACTTTCTCCCTATAAATAAGGCAGCAGCTTTCATAGCCAAGAGAGATAGTTTTGCTATTTTTCCTAGACATTTACGAGATGTAATATACCTACAAGACTGCACTATTTATGTGTGTGTGTGTAAAGTAATATTTTTATCTTTCTAGGATTGTACTTTTTCACTTACCATGCTGTAAGTTGATTTGTTTTTATTTCATATTTTTTATATAAAATTAATAGTACAGTTAATTTGAATATTGTTAGTCTCACTAGCTTTGGTATTTATTTTTTAAATATTTTTTTTAATAATAGTTTTCAGTCCTTTGTTACATTTTGTTCAAAACACAAGCCAAATCTTAAAACTGATTAAATTTGCACAACCATGTACATAGCAAACTACATAATGAATTAAGTATAGATAGAACTTTAAGAAGGATTTTAGTTTGTGTGTGCCAGGTACAAGAAATAAATTCTTCAATTGATTCAAGTTGGTGTGGAATATTTCTTCTCACTGTTAAACTATCAAAATTTTATTTGAAAAAGTTTCAGAGAAGAACATTCGGCAGTGCATGCAGCTTATTATTTACCATTCGTGGGTCAGTAGATCAAATTCACCATACAGCTGGCCCATGGTGATAGATTTAGGGTTAAGCACATAGGTGTGAGTTGTCTGGAAATCTGTCATGGCCGGTGATGGTCGCCCTTTGAGGGCTGTCTGGGCTTTCTGCAGCATTTCATAACACTGAAAACATTACAAGTAATAATTTAATATAAAAATGTGTGTGTTATTCTTATTTGTTGAACAGTTGATCAAATCATGTAATTATGCACTTGTAATAAATATTAATATGATAATTAATTGTTTCAAAGGAAGAGTTTAACATTGATGTGCTCTTCAAATGTAATATGTTATCATTTTATAGGCAAATTTCAGTCTGGCAGTAAGTGACCTTGTGATCAAATAAAGACTCATTTAATATTAGTTTTAGATCATGTGTTGTCATGTTAAACAAACTGCATTCTGATATCATAAAACAGTGTGGAAAAGTTAATAAAAAATAAAAAAGAACTGGACAGGTTTAATAAAATAACAATGTATTTCTAGTGCTGAAATTGGATTGATGATTAACGTCTTCCTGAGCTAAAGATACAGAGATAAATAAAACTTGCTTCCTTTCCAACCAGAGTAGTAGAGCAAGAGTAACATGAGAAAAAGATATTTTCAAAAACATATTTATTCATCTTTGTTACCTTGGTTTTGCCAGAACAGGTTGGTCCAACAAGCATGAGGCCATGGCGGACAACAGTTGTCTCAAAAAGCTGGATGCATTTATTAATAAAACCTGGCCAGAAAAAGTGGTGTGTAATGCTTGTAAAGAATTGTTTTAACATTTATTTTTTTTAAATTTGAGTGTATAGGTATAACATTGGTATGATTGATGAGATTTTTTTTTACATTCAAATAATAACTGTTAATACAGATGTGCTTGCTTTACAGGATTAAAATTACCATCAACATCTTTGAGTCCATTCTTGAGACATGATTTTCTCAGAGAAGTCTCCATCTCACCATAATCAATTGGTTCTTCCCTGGAGATAAATTATACAAAATTATTATTATTTATTTATTTGCAATTACATAATAAATAAATATCAGAAGACAATATGTTTAGTCTTTGCAAAAAGACAGGAAAATAACAAGGACTTTTTCGGATTGACACCATCTTCATCAGACAAGACAAAACAAGAAACCACAAATAACCTGAAATTTAAAACTTATGCGTTTGAAGATTTTATCAAACTGTAGGTCTCAAAGTTTCTGTTCAGAAAAGGAAACGCTCTGTCAGAAACAAAAGTGAAGTAGATCGAAACCAAAATGTGCATCCCACATAATTCTTTGGTTTTCAAGCCAAAACATATATTTTTTCCATTATTTATTTACTTTGCTCGGCTTGAACACAGCCTCTCATATACTACCATTAGTAATTATGAAATACTTTTTCTCATGATTATTGTAACAGTAAAATTTTAACTTAGCCTTGGAGCAAATTATTCAATAATTATGAGAGTAAAATAATTAGCCAGTTTTGTTAACATTAGCAGGTTTACTTGATGTTAGGGAACAGATCTGAAACAATGCCACTGAACAGTTTGAGATCATCCACCAAGAATTTGGGTACATTGACATCCCGGATGGCTCTTAGTGCAATTAGTTCCTGATTAAAAAAAGAGACAATAAATAGTATCTTACTTTTTTACATTACAAATTAACTAATAATACTAGTAAGTACTACAAGTGACTGACCCATGCTCACAATTTAATCCTAATGTTACAAAGCACGAAGCCAAGTGCATAGAAAGTACTAACATAAAAATATTATGTTTTGTTAAAACAAGAGGCAGCCATTGGGTGTGATCAAGCTTACCTCTTCCATGTCAGGGTACATACGCTTGAGGTTACCAGCTGCTGAAATCACAGACTTCACAGCTCTCATACCAAAGTCATAATGGTCCTGATTGAAACAAAGAGTTGTGAGTATTAATTTGACTCATGCACTTGCCGGTTATGTGTAATTGATTTAGACAGTAAAACAGCAGAAAATCTAACACTTGCTGCATGACATAATAATAATAATAATAATAAGACGTCTTATATAGCCTAGGGCTGGGCTCACCGCGCTGTACATAAAAATTTTATCAAAAGAGACATAATTATGACATTAAAATAAAATACATTTATGAAAAAAAGAACAGCAATGTATATTCACCCACCCCACCACATAACTTTTACAAGACAAACCATGAACGGCAGCCTACAAGATCATTTATCGGTCAGAGGAGGGGAATCAGTCAGGGTAGTATAATTTAAAAAGATATGTTTTTAGTGCAGTTTTGAAGGCCTGGGTGGTTGGTATATTGGGTATGTTTAGTAGCAAAGAATTCCATTGTTTGGGGGTGCAGAAAGAGAAAGATCGTTCACCATAAGTTTTAGTGTGTGTCTTGGGAACGGACAGACGACGCGTGTCTGCAGAGGAGTCAAGGTGTGCTTGAGATTTTGTATTACATTAACCAATGTTAGATCAAGTTTAAATATGTTTGTTAAATGGTTGTCATTTTTTCATAAACTTTATACACAAAACAATAACAGCTATTTTATTTTTACAATAATATTTTGTTTTAATTTAAAAATTTATTAGCAGACAACTAAAAGTATACATTTAATAAGCTACTGAAGCAACAATTGAAATGATGACTGCTCACCTGAGAACTCAACTGTTCAGATGACAATTTGAAAGTTGTGACAATCTTCTGGGACAAGGCTCTGGCATTTGAGAATCCAAAAGAGAATAGAGAGATCTCAGCAATGAGTGCATAGTCAGGAACCATCATGGCTACAGGTCGGAAAAGAGCCTGCCAGAAGCATATAAATTTAGTAAATAAATAGCATTAGTAATTTCATTGTATCTTTAATTTAAGTTCTGCAACTTAACTTGAGATTAATATTTTTGAAAAATAATTTTTCATTTACACCAGTGTGTCTCTTGGTTAATTGTTTTTAAAATTTCTCTTTTTACAGTGTTATGGAACCCATTTTTTTAAATTAAAAATTAAATGATTATACAACTTATTACCTTGAGATTATCTGGTAATTCAGTTCTTCCAGCATAACCTGGGTTCATAGTGATAAAGACAGCACAAGACGCCTTCAGCATAATCTCCACACCCTCAAAAATGAATCTGTCCACCTGAAGTAAGTAAGCAGATGTATTGAGTCATTCCCTGATAAAGTTGTTTTATGGGTTGATATCACTCCATTTATTCCCAGTGGGTCTTGTTAGTTATGGTTTTTAGGAGGACTATTTAATTAATTGATATTTGATAGAGATAACAGTTACTGACCCTGTCAGCCTGAGCCTTCTGTATGGTTGTAATCTGCTGGGCCACCACAGACAACACTTCTATGTCAATACGGTTAAACTCATCAAAGCAGGCCCAAGCTCCAGCACTTTTGGGAGAAAATTTTTGTTTATTTGAATAGAAAAGCAAAAAAAAAAAATCCAGGAAAGTTTCCTTATACCTCACAAAACAAATCAGATTTTTGGTTATTCTTGGTGACGTTTTGCTTTTCATACTCAAAAATAATAATCTTTAACCATGAAAAATAATTTTTAATAAAGCCTGTAATATTGCAGACAATAGACATAATAGACAATGTCAGATTAATGGGTAGCCTACAAAGCAGAGTTAAGGTAAATTCTTACCTGGCTAAACCTTTGAAGAATTTTCCCATGGCCATGAAATCCAGCTGGTCAGAACAGTTGAACACCACACACTGAATGGCAAAAGCTTTAGCAAGATCCTGTACAAAAGAAATGATACTTCAATTCCTAAAAGCAGAAGATAACACACCTGTCATCCCACAGTCACACAAATTTAAATGAGGCACCCACTCCTTTATGCAATACAACTGATGCAGGAACTTTTACTTAATATCGTGGTTATCATTTTAAAATTATTTACAAAAATTTAGTGAAATCAAAAAACATAGTTAATGCATTATGGTTATAAAAGTTTATAGTTGAACAAGACAGCTTTGCTAATTCATGATGGAAATACCTTAGTGGTCTCAGTCTTCCCAGTTCCGGCTGGTCCAGCTGGGGCCCCACCAAACTTAAGGTGGAGGGCGCCTGTCAGAGTCAGGTAGCACCTGAGAAGATAGAAGGCATCAATAGATGATATAAACAAGAATGAACAATAATGGGGGGGAAATAAACAAAATAGGAGGATTTATTAAATATAACAAGAAGTGTCTTGCCTGTCTGTTAGAGGTGTGATGACCAAACGTCCAGTGTTGCCCAGGTATTCATATCCGTATGGAAACTGTGCATTGACAGCTCTTTGGTAAAGGTTATCATCCTCCAGCCAGTAGTATCTAAAACAATCAGAGTACACATTTCAGTAAGTGTCAGATATTTAGACAAAAAAATGACTAGGAAAAAATGTATTTATTCAGAAATAGTTTTCACCATGTCATGTGGTGCTTCAACATGTTTAAGAAAAGTTATGTTAGATATATCAATATGGGATCTTCTTTCATGTGATGACTTATAAAAAAATTCAGCTATGAAATACTCAGTAATTTAAAATGGGAAATAGCAGAGAGATGAGAAACACAAAAGAGGAGAAGCACAGAGTACCTGAGTTGGCTGATCCATTCAAAGTCATTGGCATTGTTCACATCCTGCTCCACCATTTTAGCAACAACATCTCTGGCATGGACCTCTATTACAATGAGAGCCGACAATGTCATGCGACCTATTCTGGAGATGTCGTGGCGGACAAGTCCTCTGAGGTCATCCAGTTGTGAAAGCACCAACTGGAAATTAGTAAAAAATTGAAATTTATTATTCCCGTGGGTTAGCACTTTTTAAAAATTTTGTTCTGAAAATGGCAAAGTTTTACATATTGCACACACAAAAATAGATTCTTGTTTGCTAACCTTGAAATGTTCCTTCAATGTTCCTTTCTCCAGTTCAGCAGTAACCTCACTACTCCAGTAGGTCTGACATCCAGCAATGACCACTTGACCAGGCCACTGTAGTACCCAGTCAGTTCGGGGAATCTGTTGGTTAAAGATCATATTATAATTACAGATATTTGAAACAAAAAAAATCATACATAATCTTGCCAGTGTCCTAAAACTGATTTCATTAGATAAAATGTTATTTTACCCATCTCACTTTAAAAAAAAAAATTTTTTAATTTAAACCTGAAGATTTCTTTCATTTTTTAGATGTTTAAAAAAAATTAACCTCGTAATTATAAAAAATATAATATTTAAAAAAATAAGGATTCCAATAAAATGGCAGCCAAGTATTACTAACCTCCTTGTAGTTTTTTAGGGATTCCTTGATGATCATGCGGAGGGATTCCTTCATAACTCTCTCAATCTCCAGCATCCAGTCCTCCACATTTCCAGTTGGGTACAGTGTTTCTCTGAAATCCACACATTCACCTTCTCCAGAGAACATCTTTGTGATCTTCAAGTCATCTTCAAATTGTAGCTGGCAGAGACAACAAATTTCATAGATAAACAAGTTATTAAATTCTGTAAACAATGATAATAATAAAAAATCATAATAATTAAAAAGGAAAAATAAAAGTGAATTGTCATTGTTGTATCAGTTAAATATTTTTAAGTGATTACAAGTTGCCTAAGTGTCAAGTGAAATTTTAGTTACTGGTTGGTAAAAATAGTTAATTGACTAAACATATTTTTCAACAAAAGACAAACTGTATATACTCATCTATAAGTCGAAGGCAGTTTTAGACCAACAATTTTGAAATATGCTATGACTCATCGAAAAGTCATGATTAAAACTTGGGGGAATGAAATTCTGTGATGTTTATAATTTTGTCAGATTTTATCTGGCAGCAATCACAGCACTGTAAATTAAACTAAGACCTATGTCATTAGGACCCCCACTTGCAGTTGATGGCATTAAGTGACATCCCCTAAATTTATATCAGTGTTCTCTCTCCTCCTGACGATAGAGGCTGACAGACTCAGCAGTAGGTGATGAGGCATGTGATAGAGGCTGACAGACTCAGCAGAAGGTGATGAGGCATGTGATAGAGGCTGACAGACTCAGCAGTAGATGATGAGGCATGTGGTTTGGTCTTGGAATTCAGTCAATCATCAACAGCTGTTTTTATCTGTGTTTAGCCTGTTCTGGGTCAACATGGAGCTACTGATAACTACACTTGCACAACCGGTAACTCCTGACAATAGAGGCTCGTGGATTCTGCAGTCAGTGATTGTGCATGTGGCTTGGTCTCAGATTTCGGTCAAGCATAAACAGCTGTTTTTGTCTGTGTGAGTACCCTGTATCTGGGTCAACATACATCTACTTATAAATACACTACCATTACCAGTAACTTGACATTCCACCACATAATTCTATTGAATCTAGCACTGATCTGTGGATAAGTCTGTGTTTTAAAAATGACTGTGGATAACTCTGTCTTTTAAAAATGACCGTGGATAATGAATTTAACGACTAAAATTGCTCAACTTATATATAAGTATAAATGGTCTTATACTTTCAAATGATCCATAATAAGCCCATGATAAACCTCCTTTGGTCATTGAAGTAGTCAGGACAGAAATTATACATAGTTTAACAACATGTATTAGCTCTATGAACCTTACATGCAATAAATGTCAACAATGAACAAAGAAGATATTTGTGTCTCTTTTTAAATAAAAGGTTTTAATAGATGTATACAAACCTTGGCAATATTTTCAAAGCACTTTCTGAGATGAGGTTGTACTGCAGTGGGATCTTTGGTCTGGGACAGAATCTCAAGTAGCTCATCATCAGACAGGAAGTAGAATCGTGGGAAGGCATTACGCTTTGTTTCAAGGTATTCACTGAGTCCTTTCTGGACCTGCTCCAGTAGTTTGTTACATTCTCTAAGGTTGTCCAACAGACGGTTGTCAGGGCAAAGGGTGATAACCTACAAGGATAACCCTTAGACTTGTTTGATCCATGATGGAACTGTTTTAAAATTTTATTTTAACTTTTTCAGGGCTATAGCTCAGAAAGAAGATATCGGACTAAAAATTTAAAAAACAAAAAATGCAACAGTAAACTTTTACTCTTTAAAATCTGATTACTACTCATTTCATGATTTCTCAGAAAGTAATGATGTACTCAACTTGATATTTTAAATTTACACAACTTTTATGAAGCTTACCTGAGGGTTCTCCTTGGCTGATTTCATCAGCTGCCTCCAGATTCTTTCCATCGTCTGATAACGCTTGCTTTCTACAGGTAGTTGGCGGTTGATGTCTTCAGAGCTGAAGATGGGTTCAAGATACAACCAAGCCCGCTGGCAATTTAGCCATTCATCCAACACATCCTGTTGGTGAGTATCATGAAAATTATTTAACGAGGCTATTTCTTCAAAACATCATTCATACAAGGAAGTTAAAATGAAATCAAGAAAAATTCAAGGATTATCTCGTAATTTTCCATTTAATATATCTCAAGCAAGGACTCGAGAGTAAGACTATAAAAGTAATGGTATAATATTCTATTAAGGTACCACAATCATGACATTTTAAATACTATATTTTTTGCCTTATTTAAAAATATTTTTATCAGAAAGCTCAAATGAAAGTTTACAGATTTCATTGCAGTTGAACAAAGGAAATGAAAGCAAATATATAAAGATAATACACCATCTCCAGAACAGGACACATTACCTGGGTGGTTCTCAGCTTGCTCTCCCAGTTGCTGATGCGGTCTTCAAAAGGTTTCTTGAAAGGTGAGAAGGACATGCTCTGGGTCATGACAATGTGGTCATCCAGTAACTGTGAAGTCTCCTCTGAGCTGCGTAAGATGTAGGTGCCCGTTTCCTTGTAGGGCATGATTTCAAACAGGACAGGCTCCCATTCTTTCTCCATTTTGTCCAGGGCCTACAAAATTTGGCTTAGGTAATTATGTATATTCATCTATCATGTATATCACAATAATTAAAATCAGGACTTAAATTTTTTTGTAAACTTCAAGCCATGAAAAATATTTTTTGCTATGCTGAAGCAAAATGAGCTTAACTTCTAAATAAATCATTTAGAATATTCTATAATTAAATTAACAAAATTATGGCCATTGAGTTAAAACCATTTCATTGTTTAACATAGTAGACAAATCAGTAAATCTAAAAATCTTATCTGAACATTTTTTCCTGTAATTTTTAAACAAACATTGTACTAATCTTTGCCAAGACCATAACTCTTTTATTTAACTAAACATAAATCAAGTGCAAAACATTATTGTGTGCCAAATTTGAAAATGCTTATCAGGAGTTGATATGACTCACCTGCTCAATAGAATATTCTTTACCGGCCACCTCAGCTATCTTGGCTATGGTGGTGATGTGATCTTGCAATTTCATCTCAAGGCATTTCTGGAAAGTCAGATCCTTCTTGGGACGTACTGCAATGCCAAGTTCTTCAGAAAGCTGCCAAAATATTAAAATTATTCTTAGAATGTATGCGGCACTGTTTTGAAACTGAGTTCACTTCCTGATTGGTCTTATAAAGCTGTTATATGTTTTGGTCTCTCTAAATAGACTTTACATTTACCCAACTTTGAAGTATGAACAAGAAAATTACTTTTTTAACAATCTTTTTATAAAAATTCTGTTCAAGATATTGAAACTAACCAGTCTTAAAACAAAAGATAATAATTAGAGAATTTTGAAACAATGCCTGCCAATGTCTGAGTAGGCCTACCTGCTCCCAATGCCTGTTCCTCATGCCAGGGTTTCTGAGACCCTGTATAAGTGGAATGTAAGGCCGGAAGTCCTCAATTTTTCCTTTAATATCAGTGGCCACATCTTGCACATCTGAAAATATAAAACTTGTCTATATATTCTATATCTTTAAGCTTGAGATTTTAACCTAATGGAATAATTTATTAAAGGCTTTAAAAAAAAAAGTAAGATTTCAACATAAGTTATGCCTATAAAAACTTGATAAAAAATAGTTTTCTAAACATAATTTAAAATAGGATTAATGAGGAAAAACAAATCAGAATTTTTTCTGTAATATTAAGCTTGTATTATTGACAAATTCACCACAAAACTCACTAGGAATATCTTGGAACAGCTTGACACTTTTGTGCATAATCTTGTAGCTCTCATTGACATTCTTCTCCACTTCCTCTGCATTGATGGCCGTCAGTGGATCATTCATCCAAGACTCCTGCCATCGCTGCCAGTCTGACACTGTTACCCACAGGTTGCGGAAAGGCTCAAAATCCTTGACAAGCTTTGCCAGCTTATCATACTATAATAACAAACACAATACACAGTTTGTGTGGGTGGCTGGAGAACTGTCCAAACTTTACAGCCCTTTGAGAATATTATAACTTGATCCATAAAATATACTGAATTATTATTTTTTTAATAGGTGATTATCTTGATATTAATTTTTTACCAAATAATAAAAAAGTTATCTTTCAATACAACTTTACATGAATCAATTTATAAAAAACTTATTAATAACACATATCTTTTAATCTTAAAATATTATTTCTGCTACAATAAAATTCCTTTCACAATATTATGGATCATGTTCAAGCATTCCCATCGAGCTCCACCATGTGATGTGTCCACATTCTAAAAATAGTCTAAAGGCTGCCACACAAATTTTTAAAGCACATCTTTTAAAAACAGGAAAATATTTAGCTACAATCTAACAATATTACGGTATTAGAAATTCTACTCCACCACACATCAGATGAAAGTCTCAAAATAAATAAAAATTATCAACTACCAAACACTTTGAAAGTTTTACTGAAAAATGCCACACAGGTAATCATTTCTCTCAACAAAACAAAACTTATCAGTTTAAAAATTGAAGACTTAAAATATTACTATTATGAAAACTATAAAGCATTTAATATATTGCACATCAATTTTAAAATCATTTATTAATACCTAGAAGTCGCAACCAATCTATTTTTCAGGCAATATTTATTCTAGTGTATCATTATATCCAATAGCTAAATGTTAGTTAACAATCAGTGCTGGTTGGAGTGGCCAAGCAGCCTGGGACAAACATTTGTAATCATTGATTAAAAATGCAAGTTTTATTGTAATATAGAGGTGGCCCTGATGGCTCTAATATCACCAGCGTTAGCAGCTTGCCTGGATTTATTCTGGTGTCCTGCGCCCTGTCCACCCTATCTACAATCCCCCAAAGTCAAAATACTTGTCATTAATTCATAAATCAAAAACAAATGAGGGAGTTTAATATTTTGAAAAGGTAGATACATCTAATAACAAAATAGAATTCAAAATGATGATATCAAACAGCAATCCTCCATCAAATAATTTTGTTTAAATCACAAAAACTGTAAAGTGGGTAAGCTAATTATCAGTCAATTTAATATGATGAAGATGTAAAAAGAAATGTGAGGTACGGCATAAGTAAAGTTTGTGGGTGGTTAAGTTGTACTAATATATAATAATATAAAATAGAGCTACTGTTTTTAAGTTAGAAAGATCAAGAATTTTTTACAAACTTTCTGTTTACGGGACAAATAAAAATAAGTTTAAAATTTATCATTGGGAGAAATATAGATTACAAAAAACACTACTGCTTATAGAGAAATAAAAAAAATAGAACATAAGCAAATTTGTTAGCTCCTCGTGGTAATGCTGAAATTAATTATTCTAAAAAATTAACTATAACTGTATCAAGAAATATTCTAAATTATCGTGTACAAAGAGGAAGATTTAAAATTATATAGCTCAGAAACTACTTAAGTGCTAATAAGGAAACATGCTTATAGAAAAATGACTAAGATTAATACACAAAGTGCAGAAAAGTATAAGAAAAACATTTATAGACTAAAGAAGCAAAAGGCATGTGGAACACTATGGAGTGAGTAGTTGGTTTTTTTCACCAAGCCTTTGTAGTGTATGATATTTGCTATTATAGCAAATAAAGTGACTTCATTATCAAGGTGTCCAAGCCATGACAATAATAATTTGAACTGCCCCAGATGCTGCAGAGTGCCCTATTAAAGTCTCATAAAATATTTACATTCTTTCTGGTACAACTGGATGTTGGATTAGCTCTTGAAGAAAGCTAGCACCTGTTCCTTGAAAGGTGAAGTCTTAAAGGAGCAAGCTTTCAACTATGAAATAACTTTAGTTTATATAATGGCACTAGATTATCATATGTTTTCTAAGTTGCTAGCCCAGAGTGAAAATAAAGGAAATGTCATAAGTATTTTTGATGATTAAAATATGTTTTGGAGAAAAAGGAAACTGTTATGATATATTGAATATATATGTATTTACAGGAAGGTTTGTATAATTATAATGATGTTTTAAATAGAGATTAATATGAGTATGATGTAAGTTTATATATGATATTTCTGACATAATGATAAAACTGTAAAAGGTTTGTCTCTGCCAAATGTTATTTGATGGAACAGATTTATTTCATTTAATAAGCTGAAATTAATAATTATGTTAGGTTAAAAGTAGAAATTAATTTCCTGTGTTTTGGAAGGGAACTTAAAAGTGACAAATATTTTGGACATCAGCTTTAGACAGAAATTAGATATTTTCCATTACAAATATCATAAATGAACCTGGAAAAAACAAATTGATTAATGATGATACAATGAAATGATTTTTTACTGTACTCTGTAAATGGATGCTGATGCTTACATTGGTGACTGGCATACCAAACAGTCTCTCCCTGTTGTTGTATGTGATGGCCATTTGTTGAGCATCTTTCAGCTGCTTGTTGATACGTCTCATCTCATTGGCTACTTCATGTGCCCTGCTGATCTCAGTGTAGGCGGCCATTCCAGCCACAGCCATCTAAGGAAAAATATTTTAAAGCATTAATGATTTCTGTAGCTTTCTTTACTCTTTAAACTTATTCAAGGAAACAAGACAGCACACATAAGTTTAACAGCTCATTTACTCTAACAGTAAAATTTGTGTCCATGTAGTTAAGAGCATGGCTGTTTTAATATCACCTGCAGTCCATCAAGTTTGTCTTCATAACTAGTCTGATCTGACTGTTGCAGTTTTCTGAATCGCTCTTCATCTTCTGTCAGCTGCAGGAGTGTCTGCTCCATCTGGTTCTCAATTTTGTGTGGCCAACCAATGGTGGTCCATCTTGAAAAATTAAAACACCAGGGATTGTATATAAACATTTGTACTTTTTTAATCCAAAATGGAATTCAGTTCTTTTCAAATTAAATTTTAGTTCTTTTCAAATTAAACTTACATTAAAAAGTTGTTTAAATAAATTAAATATTAGAAAAACATGAAGTAACTTTAGGTGAAAAAAATCAAATGAAACCTGTTAGTTTCAAAACTTTTAAAAGAGCTCTACAGCAGTTATGTGAAAATAATTACATGCTTAGCTGTTAAGTCATCAGTGCAAACGTATTAATATAAGTACATACTTAGCTGTAAAGTCATCGGTGGAGAGGTTGTAATAAAAGTCCTCAATAAGTTCATAGTCACTCATGGCTTTCACTATCAGCTCCTGTGCATAAAAATGCATTATCTCAATCTGGGATTGTCACTGATTTCCCACTTTTCATTTGTAATATTGCATACAACCCTTAATCATTATCTTCAGATGCAAAGTTAAATTATTTTTTTTAAAGGATGGTTTATGTACAGTGTGCTAACTCAATGTTTAGAGTTTTATAAAACTATATGGGATGATTTTAACATCTTTAGAAAATGAAATAAAGTGTGTATTTCAAAATCTCCTCTATTTTTAAAACTCTACATATGTGTTCTTACACTGTGTTCCTGTAGTTTGTCTGGTATGTCTTTAATCCATTCCCTCATCTCAGCCAACTCTTCAACACAGTTGGGCTTTTCATAAAGCTTGCGACTGATGGTCTTAAACTCCTCACATGCCTGAAATAGAAACAGCTATTGTTAGCAGTGACCTTAAACTATTGTTCCAAGATAACTTATAGATAAAAATTATGTTTTACACCCAAAAATGGGATTAAATATATTTTTTAAAATTAATTTTTATTTACTTTTAGTTTCTTGATCATAAATAATAACAATATAACATGTATGAAAAACTTCATATTTCATATGTCTGGCTGTGGGTTACACAACTCACATCATCAGCTTGTTTCCTCAGTTGTCTGGCCAACAGCTCCAAGACCGCATTGCTGAGAGCTTTCCTTTTTTTGCCCAGGGCCTGTCTAGTGCCTTCTGTAATGATGTGAAATGGGCCAATGACAACAGAGCTGGGTACAATGGTCTCCAGGACTTCCTTCTCACGAAGATGCATCTCCACTTCTGCTTTTACTTCCTCAGCCGAGTGTCCAGCAGATTCATATGATCTGAGCAGAAAAGCAAACAAGAAGAGATGTGTTTGATATTAAGTTAAAATTTTGCTACAGAATTATCAGTCAACTAAGATTTTAACACCTTAAAAAATATAATGTAGCTCTGATTATTTTTGTAAAGTTTTGTTTTAAGATTAACATTCCCACTCCATAATATTGATGTCAAGCCTAAAAGAACTTTTCCAATTTTATTTTTATTGCACTGTATGTAAAATCAAATTTCTTAAAGAAAGTTTTAATGATATTCATGAATTAATTGAATCATTATTTTGTTACATCTAACTATTAAAGGGTTGCTTTTTACCACATGATAATTGTAGTACACATGTTCCAAATATTTTCCCTTTTGTTGTTTATATCATCAATTTATATAAGTTCATAACTTCATGTCACATTTACTATATTGAATTAAAATATTTAACCCTTACTTAACATAAGCGTTTATGTCGATATTGATAAGCTCAAGATATTTCTCGTATTCACGAGCATAAGCTTTCAATGGCACAAGCGACTGCTGGATCGCGCGCCTGATGGTATTGCGGAGATCCTCTACTGGTGGTTCATGCTCCCCAACAGATTCCAGGAGGGGAATACCTGACCAGAAAATGTCTTTCATGATTTCCTGTCATTAGAAAAACATTAAAATTGGCAGGAACACATAAACTCTTAAGTCAGTTAATGCTACTATATAGCACATGCACATAAAATTTAAACACTTGTCTCTTGCATTTGAATATTTATGGATTCTGTTGTAGTTTCAATTATCCAATTAAATTATAGAAATTTAGAATTCTTTTGCTTCAAATCTCATTAAGCTAAATCTAAGTTTAATAAGCCTGGCATATAACACTGCAGTGCATAATACAGTAATTCAACATATACTAATTTACTTATGATGCTAAGTCAATCTGCAGATTTTGATTCATTTAAATGTTTAAATGTTTACTGATGCCATGATAATTATGTCAGGAATGTCTACTCCCATCTGAATATAAAAAAATGTTTCATATAACTCACCAATTTCATTTTCCTCTTTATTATAATTTTGTACAATCAATGTTTTAAAATTAGTATTATTCTCTTGCAAAATATACAGTCCTCTGGCTTTTCAGTAGGCTACAAATTTGTACTCTAATAAGTATAAATCTTTAAATAGTTTATTTTTAAAAATATTATATGCAGAACTGGAATATATATCTTGTAAATAATAATCTTTGGTTTATAAGCAAATTTTATGGGCATTTTTTATGTTAGTTTTTCTTCAAAGTATTTATGTGGCTTACTGACCCTCTCAAGTTGAGGCACATTTTGTGTGGCTTGTATTCCCTTGTCGAATAGTGAGATAAGTGTGTTCTCATAGCTTGGTAGGCTTGTGCTGAAGTGAACACCATCTTTGTCCATAACCAGATCAATAAGAAACAGGGCATTCTTTCTTGGCCTACAACAAAACAAAATATATACTGCTAAAATTAATTGATAAAGACTTTTGATACTAATATAAGAAAAATTCATCAAAATTTGGGTGAAATTGTATTTGTGCAATAATAAATAATACATTGCATGCCTCAAAGAATATATTTTGTATATAAAAAAATGAAATGCAAGTCAGTAGAATTCATATAGTACAAACTGTAGCAACAGAGAAATGTGTCTACAATTTAATTTTGTTCTCATTCCTTAAATTTAGATTTCCAAAGAAGAAAATAAATTGAAAAATAAGATCTTTTGCTTTTAAATATCTTAATTTAAAGTTGAGTGACATTTTTTTCTCTACTTCATGTCTAGCTTAGCATCCTGGCTATCATGAAATTATAAAAGATGGTTATTTTACCCTCAGAGATTTATACACAAATGATAGGAAAATAAGGGCAGGCTGTTATTTTACATACTTAAATTTGCTGTTGATCAAATCATTTCCCCACACAAAGTCTTCATCAAGTTCCAATGTAGAATGACATGCATCTACAACCATTTGGGTCAAGTTCATCAAAGAATCTTGAACCAGAAAACGCATTGAGTCTTGCATAATGAACTTGACAGTTTCCATGAATTTCTTTAGCTTTGAGATTTGATACACTTCCCAGTTGGTCTCCCGAATGTTGAACCAGCCTTTACCCACATCTCTAAGGGCACTTCGTATGTTGATACGCAAACTTGTGATCCAACTGTCTCTAAGGGAGAGTCCAACCTGGTAGTACGGATAAATATTGTCTGTTACTAATATAATTCTTGATGTCATGGTTCAATTGATATTTTAGTAAAGTTTGTTTAAATTTATGTATGTATTCCAAATATCATTTTGAAAGTATATGACATGAATATTAATAACAAAATATGTCACATTTGAAGTATGGGTTCCTTTTTATGATCATACGTTTTATAATAATAATTATGAAATCAGTAAAAACATAAACTGCTCAATAGAAGAGTTGCATCTTTATTAAAAGTTATTTTCGAGAAGGCAAAGTCAAATTTAATTTCTTCAATACCATCTTAAAAATTTCAGTATTATGATGCTTAATAATTCTTTGTCTCTATTTTCATAATATTACCTTATATTAGTGGATATCTAGCAATAAAACTTGTAAAACAATATTCTCTCTCCTTAAAAAAAAACTATGACAGCCTCATTCATTACCTGTGTGGTCATTTGTGATTGAGTCTGTTCAAATTCTTCCAACCTCATAGGCTTGGCTGTTGGGATGTGGTATAAGCTGGTGCAGCTAACACGATTGCACTCTGTACGAACTTTACCCATGGCCTGGATGCTCTCTGGGAGTGTGAGCAATGAGTTGAATGCAAAGCTGTCATACTGCTCATCAAATGGATACTTTGGCACATCTGAACAGCAGCCTGTCATGTGTAATAAAAGAATGGTTACTCTTTTTATTTATTCAAAAAAACTTTTAAATTCACAATTTTCTATATCAATTAATTGATCATTAACTCAATAGGTGGTAAGCAAATATTTATGAGCTAGGTCTGTTTGAAATCTTGAGTTATATAAATAAATAAATTAGACTTTTGAAGGGGTCTTTAAAAAAAAAAGAAATTTAGTACATATATTTTTATTTCAGACAGTACCAATGGTAGTCACTTAGTGTTTTTCTAAAAACGTACCTGTTCTAGGTACAGGCCTTCCCTCATTCCGTGGAACAGAAACAAAAGCAAAAGTGACTGGATCCTCCTCCACTGTTTTTTCAAATATGATGCGGTTCATTGATCTGCAGAAATCAATGTTTACTTCCTTTTCCAAAACTTGCGTGTAATCCTCCAGACTAAGAAATGAAAAGAAAATATCATCAAACCTAAAAGTTTTAATAAAGATAAACACATATAAAGATAAAAGGAAAATTCTGATTAAATTGTTAAAATTTAGCACCTATTTTAGAATATCGATAAAATACCTCATTTCAAATGATGAGATGAAGAATTTTTAATCCTTTATTTATTTCGTGAACTTTGCAGTCCTAAGCATTAATCCAATTATCTATTTCTCTAATAAATCAAAACTTGTAAAACTAATCATAAAAGAAAAATAGATAAATCTTATTTTTATTAGTATGACGACTGTTAGATGTAAAGAAATTATTAGTTTTGGGTGCAATTAAATTTCTACTTTAAAATTATAAATGAAATTACTTACTTTTTGTTTTTGTTTATTCCAGAAGCTGATTGTGCACAGTCAATCATACGTTTCAAGGAAGCTTGATCCAATTCCCCCACACCATCCATTGGCATGCAATCAATGTACAGATTGTAACGTAGCTGTGCCTCACATTCTTTCCTATCCTTGAAAGCTGCTGTTAGGCGATCTGCAAAAATCTGTGGATCCTCAGCTCGAAACATCAGACGAATGCGAGGAATCCACCATTGACCAGGCAGAAAAACTCTCTGTCCCCTGTCAGATATGCCTCCATTGACCACCGTTTTTCCCTCATTGTTTACAACACGGCCTTTTTCATCACAATTTTGCACAAGGTAGAGTTTTGTGTCAGTGTTATAATCCAAGACTCCAACATCAAACCATTTGTATTTAATGCTTGGATCTGTTGGGGATTCTAAAAATTTGTTTAAATTTAGTTTAATTTCAAATATTTTTTTTAAACCATTTAGTTTGAATGACCCAATTGAAACTTTATTCAAAGTATAAAAAGAGTTAAAAGTTCTACTAATATTTCTTACTCTCTAAATTAATTAAATAATTGCATCTCTCCTAAAAAAATTCTCAGCTATGCAAAATTTACCTTTTTTCCTAATGTGTTTGAAGGCTTCTTTCTATATAAACAATTTAGTGATTGTATTAAATGTGATAAAATTTGTAGAAAAGCTTTCAGCCAAATAATGTTCTTGTAGTTAATTTTTTTTAAAAACCAATAACAAAGAATTGAAGACATTGGATATGATGTTTAATTTATTATTAAACCATTGTCCAATGCACTGCAGGTAAAACTTACTATATCTGTCCTGTTCTTCTGATGGCAGCAAAGCTAGACCAGGAACTGGGTATCTGGCATCCTCTTGCTTCCCTAGTTCAATCCACTCCTGAGGAGTGCGACAGTCAAAGTCTTCATTATCAAAAATATCCAGTGGAAGATAAGCAGGGAATGGGGCTGGATCTTCATCATCTCTGTTCAGAAGAATTTGTGAATCAGTTTGCTGTTTGGCCATCAGAATTTCAGTCTTGAGATTTCTCTCTTCCAGAAGCTCCTCTAAAATTAGGCTTTTGTACAGCCTACGTCTCCTGCACAACAAAAAAAGACAAACTTCTTAAGTGGGGAGAATGATCTTTAAACATTTTTTTTATCACTGCAAATAATTTTTCTTCCAGAATTTTTCATCAATAAACCCTAGCTTTGTTAATGCATAATCGAATCGTAATAAACTTTTTGTTTAGTATCCTTACAGTCATCAAGTTATAGACTCATTTTTTTTTAAAACATAAAAAATTTTAATTAAAACTTACTTCTTTTTTTAAAAAAACTTTTTAATGCAGTTTAAAAAATACATTTGGTCATTAAATTTTGTCTTCTTATTATAAATATTTATATTTGACAGCTTTATTGCAAGTTGCTAACCTCTCCATTTCAATTTTCTTAGGATGATTTCCTGGTTTAGTGTATATGGTCATCTGTACTTTTGGCTTGAAGGACTGTGAGCTAAAGTCCTAAAAAGGAAGAAACTTAGTTAGCTTATAAATAATTAGCAGCCAAACACAAGGAGACAATAATTCCATAAAATCTAGATATTTCTTTTATCAATTGAATGTCTCTACAAAAACCAGCCGGACTATGACAGTAATGAAATCATAAAATTGGTTGGCTTTGATGACATTTAACTCACAGATGTCTACTTACTGAGATTGTGAGATCCTGTGTACTTGGTCCATAGTTCTGTTGACTAATTAGCTCATTCAGCTGACTTTCATCCAAATGAAAGGTACTTGCTGTGAGTTTTAAATTATAAAAATATAGCAAATTTATCAAATGAAAAATATTTAGTGATACAGTGGCTTTCTATTAGTTTATAGAAAAATAAGGTGAAAGCGGGGATAGCTAGAATCAGAATGAGCATAATTTCTCATCTCAAAATGGTCCAATGTCATTGAGTCTATGTTTTCAAACTTTCAAACCTTTGCCCTGCCTTGGAAACCCAGTGTTACCTTAAATTAGCTACAAACTAAATGTAGCAATTATTATTTATAATATAGCTTTATTTAATTTAAATTTAAATTCTGTAATCTAGAATTATCTACATGTGAAAATTCCAAGTAAGGTATACTGGTGACAAAATAATACAGGCCTTTGTTATTAAAACAGAAAAAAAATATATGCACGTTTATCATCTGGCAAGTACACAACCATTTGGAAATTAAAGCTGTCAAAAATTGAGTAAGCTTTGAAACATAATATAGCAAGATCAACAAAGACAGAACTGAGACATGAAATGATAAAAAAATGAATCTTGTCCCTGGGTATTAAACACCCTAGACAAACTTCTGCGTGTTGCTAGCCTTTTAAGCAGGTCTTCATTTGATCAAATCATGTTATATCAATTTATTCTATTTTAGAAACTTAATCTTCACAAATTAATATTATCTAGGCCTATGTATGGACAAAATGTTATGCTCAATAAGTACTTTGAAATGATTTCCTATTTTTGTTATACCTATTGGAGTGTGCTTCTCTTTGCCTACATCCAGCAAGGTTCCCTGAATGGTCTCTGGTCCAGTCAGGATATTCTATTTAGTGTAATAAAGACATCACAGAATGGAAATAATAATGTGAATAATAGAATACTTTTAAAAAAAAAATAATATAAATGTTAAAACTTTAATTGAAAGACAAATGAACAAGATATATAATTATATTTTATATAGGAGAACATTTTTCTCATCATTTACCTAAGAATAAAATTTGTGAGATGACATTGCATGTGAAAGTGTTTTAGCCTTGCTGTATCCAAATAATTGACACATGTGCAAAACACACAAATGTAGATATAGATCAAGTATGATAACCTTAAAGTGAATATAATTTTATGAATGTGAAATCCACTCAGAAAAAAACTCCACTGTGTGATACAACACATTATTTTATTGTGTGTTAAAAAAAAAAGGGGGGGGGGTGTGGTTATGGATATACTGTAATTTTAATACAATTTTTTTTTTAAAGTTCATTTTTTTAAAAATTTTTTAATCTTTTTAGGGGCTTAATTTTTTTGTATTTTATTTTTTTGTTTTTTTTTTTAAAACCTTAAAATGAATATAATTTTATGAATGTGAAATCCAATAAGAAAAAAACTCCACTGTGTGATACAACAAATTATTTTATTGTGTGTTAAAAAAAAAAGGGGGGGGGGTGTGGTTATGGATATACTGTAATTTTAATACAATTTTTTTTTTAAAGATCAGTCTTTTAAAAATTTTATAAGCATTTTAGGGGCATAATTTTGTTGTAATTTACTTATTTGCTTTATTTTTTAACTGAAAAGCATTAATTGATAAGAAAAGGTAATACCTCTATGTCTTCATCATTTCCTGCAGTTGTAATTACATCAGAGTAAAAACCTCTCTGCTTAATCTCTGGGTACCCATTTGTGTGAGGTCTGATTTCTGCTGTACTGATATTTGTTCGGTTAGCAGAAAAGGACCTGCTCTGAGAGCTACGTAAGTGTCTTGCTGACATGTCTGATTTTCAGTGTCAGTTTGTTTCTGATTTCAAACAAAATTAAAAGTAAAATAACTACAGTAATGAAGCAATTTCATTGTTTATAAAATGCCTTTAATCCATTCAAAGCTAATGGTAAACAATAATTTTATAACCGGTGAAGACAAGTTAAGCATGTATAAATTCATATTTGTACAGCCATACAATACTACAGTCTTATGACTATTGACCGCTATATGATATCTAACTTAATCTAAAAGCTATGGCTATGGCCATGGGGTTTAGGTAAGGCCTCTATTAATACTATTATAATTTATATTCTATAGGGTTTAGACTTCGTTAATTTTAAGCTTGACTAGAATTCTTTGTACCAGCATTAATTATAAAAATACATAATTTTTGTGTAAAAGTAACAATGTTAGACTAATGCTGCCATTTAAAAAATAATTTAATGAAAATTTAGATGATATTTAGATAATTTTAATTAAAAAAGGTCTTATTTTATATAGTCCATGTCCATGGCCCTATAGGAAAATTTTGCCGCAAACTAATACCAATAACGCCAAAATAATCAAAATGGCATGGAATTTATTGGAATAACCTACTAAGGCTAAGGACTAAGACTAAGGCCTAGGCCCTACTCAGTCATATAACGTCATCATGTCATTGATTGAATATTGTTTTACATTATTAATGTGTCATCCGATACTGTCGGACTGTCTCAGTGGCTGTCTAATTCTAATCTAATGATAGGCCTACTTTATATACTTACTATAACTATAAAATATATGTAAATAATAATTCTATTAAAGTATAACTATCACTAGTACTAGCTTATAAATTTTTAATTTACTATTATTACTATTGACAATACTATTGTTCACAAGTACAACTAGGTAGTAAAACCAACTTTCGACAAAATTTTAATTAACAATTTTTAGGCTAGTCTATGCATCCCATTTACTAAATTTAATATAATAAACCAAATTGATAAACACGGGAATATTTACGTGCCTCTGACTTTTAATTAATTAATTCCAAATTCAAGGAAGGAAAACGAGATCATTTTTTGGCCATCAATCCGACATTAACGGTAACTAAGGCACAACACCTTACCGCAGAGATTGGTTGCTGGGTACGGAATAGCTCTTTGGCCTTTAAAGAAATAAATATTATGCACGAAGTGGATCCGTTCAAATTTGTTGTAATCGTCCTTCTGTGGACATAGGAATGGATTAGCCTAATTAAGAGCCTAAGACTGCGGGATAATTAAATTAGAAACTTGATGTTCATGTCAGCACAGTTTCGCCAAGGGCGTTGCTAGATACAATCGTTGAGCCATACATAGAATGTTATATTTTTTGTAAAAATCGTTTTTACTCGTCCACTCACATAATTTTCTATGCAAACCTATCAAACTATGTTCGTTTGTTGTGGGCCTATGCGGGGGATCTCGGATAATTTTTAAAAAAAAGACCCAAAGTTGGGATGTGGGCGATACTTTTATGAGCTACATTTGCGGTTCCCGTGCAATCCCCATCCCCAGCAAAAGCGTAGATAAGTATAAGCAAAAACACAACAAGCACCTCAGGTGGATGGTAGGCCTACTCGTCAAACATGGACCAGCTTACCAACATAAAGAAAAACACAAGGCCTTGCGATCTCGTCCTGCGAAGTCTACACCATCATGACACAGTGCCAGCGGTAAACATCAGGTTCGCAGAAGCAACTATGACTAAATTCAATAAATAGGTGTGAAAAAATCTCACCGAAACTATAAAAGTAAGCGTCTATCAGGCATGTGTGCCTACTAAGCTCATATATGGCAGTGAAGTGAGGACCACAAATGCCAGTCATGAGCGGAAACTTATCAGCTTCCATCAAAGATGTCTGTGTCGCATTTTGCTCATTCCGTGGCAGAACAAGATGCCTAACACAGAGTTTTTGGAACGTGCCAAAATGTCTAGCTCTTAGCAAGAAGCGCCTTCGCTTGTTATGCCATGTAAGGAGAACGTAGGAAGGCCGTATTCCAAAGAATCTGCTGTTTGGAGAGCTGGCAGAAGGGCAAGACTTATTGGACGGCCGCGGATTAAGGACGTTTTCAAAACTGGCATGAGGGAAGCCAACATAGACATCAACAAATGGGAGATTATCGCTGAGCACCGATCCAGCTGGCGAACAACAGTGCACGAAGGAGTAAAAAAAAAAGGGGGGGGGGGGCAGAGGTTGCACGAAACGAAGCCTTTGCATCAAAAAGAGCATTACGAGAGGCCAAATTTCCCTAGGAGGCAAGGTTCTCCTGCAATGCAATGGAGACTGCCATTCCAGGATTGCCTCGTAAGCAATTATATATATATAAAGTAAAAAAAAAAGGGGGGGGGGGGCAGAGGTTGCACGAAACGAAGCCTTTGCATCAAAAAGAGCATTACGAGAGGCCAAATTTCACTAGGAGGCAAGGTTCTCCTGCAATGCAATGGAGACTGCCATTCCAGGATTGCCTCGTAAGCAATTATATATATATATGGCGAGGCGATAGAAATAACAAGAAAAACATCGTTTATGATGTGTTCCAGCTGGGAGAATATACACTTAGGCCTAAACCTAACGAACCAATCAGTTGGCTCAAAAACCTTCGTGGGCAATAGCTCAAGTTAAAATTAAATAAAAGAAGTAAAAGTGAAAACTCAGCTTTCGAAAGATAAAACTCATACAACGCCGGCCTTTAGGGTGTGTGCCCGGTGCCCTCGCACAGGGCGCCGTTGCCATAGGGGCGCCTAGGACGCCCAGTAAGTATTTAAATTCCCTTAGTTTACTATAGTGAAGTGTGAACCTTTGAACTGTGTAGAAATGTAACAAATTACCTTAGAAAAACTCAACAGTCTAAATTAATGTGCATGTTAAAACGCGTATGGTTAGCTATATGTAGGCCTATAGCATCACAACACGTGCTCCATAGCCTACATCGTCATAGGAAAAAGCGGAGCCATACAGGGACAGGGAAAGGGGTGCCGAGTGCGTGCTTCGCACAGGGCGAAAGTTTACCTAAGGCTGGCGTTGACTCATAACAAGCATAATTTCTTAAAGATAATAATATACTTTAAATGCAGCCTTTTTAAAGAAAATTTATCTACGGTTTAAAGTCGTTACTCATTTCAATAATCGTTTTGAATGTTAATTTCAGTTATTTACTAAATTGCCATCTCTAGGCTTTGTTACGTGGAAATAATTAGTCCAGTGCTTTCTAAACTGTTCGGCATGACAAAATAGTGTTTCATGCAGGGTGTAGCTGTGTCGCACGAAAATAATCCATATCATCATGAATCATCATTTAGACATTTTTTAGACTTTCAAAAACCCACTGGAAATAAATTTAAGACAAGTTATTGACAAAGTGGTGCAAATTGTACATTATATTAGTGGCAGAACTCTTCAACTTTTAGATTATTTTGCAAATATAATTTGTGAAAAAATAAGTAAAACCGTAAAAATCTTATGGCTTATGGGCTACATACTGACATTCGTTTGACCTGACAAAGTCTGGTTCTTATCTTTGTGTATACGAATTGAGGAAAATGATGCTTACATTTTTTTAAAGAAAATAAGTAACATGGATATATGATTTCATTGAGACAAACTCAGGGCACAAAATAAGCATATGTTGATTTTACAGACATATTCGAATAAACTAAACTAACCATGCATTTGTGCTATGGCATTGGGAGACAAGAAAGTTATTTGGAAATGGAAAGTGTAATATTAGGAAAAGTATGCCAAAAACAACTGAGTGCGAGCTAAAATGTGATAATAGCTCACTAATTGTGGACAGATCGACATTGCTAATTTACACTTTATCTTTGTGTCCATATCTATAACATTTAAATAAATGCTGTAAAATGCGGAATGTTGTGTTGGCAAAATTAATAGTTTGTAAAGTTCTGAAAATAAAAATGAGCTGCCATTGGTTTAAATTGATTGACTAGTTAATTATAAAATATAGTTCCTAGGCAGATGTGTTGTTTGGACCATCAAACTAATTGTTTTCCTTTACTAACAGTATTCTTGCTTAACATGAAACGAAATCTTACTTTGATTGCCTTCTCTACTGAATGCTACCTTTGTTTGAAAAGAGGGTTACCTTACTTAGATAACAAAGAATTCATTGGAAAAACATCTGAAATCGAGCCTCAAAATACACAAACAGAGGCATGAAAATGCAGTATCTTTATGTGGCAATATTGTGTATGGTAACTCATGTTTCAACAAGTCTTTATGTGGAACTACTGCATATGGTAACTCATGTTTCACTAAGTTTTTTTGTTAATGAAAAATCAACACCTTTTTTTTTTTTGGTTAAGATATTTATTCAATCATCATAACTGTTGAATAAAAACTCTGTGAAGAGGACATTCAAAAGGGGGAATTGGTCAATCAAAAATGAAGTGTTAGACATGAAATGATGAAGGATGAGAGTCTGACAGACTAATAAACTTGTCATATACAATTTTCTAGTTAAACCCTTTTAACTTTAAGAACAGGCACTAAAACATGGTGAACGATCTTTCTGTGCCCCAAAACATTGGCATTCTCTCCCATTGTACATCCACAATATAACAACCAGACCAGCCTTCACAACTGCGTGTAAGAACCATCTCTTCAAACTGTGATATACCGATTCATTCTCACCCCACTCTTAACTGATAAACAACGCTCGATGCTACTGTCCATGGCTAGACAGGGGTTGATAGTACTTGAGTGGGTGAGGTCCAGCTTTTTTTATAATTTGTTGTTTTTAAATGTATAATTTTCTGTCCTAATTTTTATGTGAGGCACAGTGAGCCTAGCCCTAGGTACTGCGCTATATAAAACCACCTTAATAATAATAATAATAATAATATGTTACAGTAAATGGATATGTGGGAAAAAGGAAATTATCTTGCATAACTGAGTAATGAAATTGGCACTTTTTTTTTGCTGACATCGACTTTAGAACAGTTGGAACCACCAAAGTTAAAAATAAGAATTCTTCAGTCTTGTGACTCTGACTCACAATTGCTCATTGTAAAATAAAATGGAGGAACATAATAATTTTGAAAAGTAATGATAAACAGTTGCCATTTCTGTACAAAATTATATTTTTTCGAACAATAAATGAGTGGGAGTTGGGGTTTGAAGCTAAACTATGGACATGCTTATTCAATGGAAATGCTTTCAAAAGTGAAAACTGTACACAAGCCTAACAAACTACACAATTTTTTAAAGTATTAAATGAGCAAAAATTAATAAAATTCCTTTTTACTTTAATTTTTAACTTGTTATATCGGTAACAAAGCAGTAAATGCATAAGAACCTTATATAACTCTTATCTTGGGGCTCTAAAGAGGACAACTTGATAGATGAATAATCTCCATTAGAGTTTAGAATTGCATTCAATATTGCATCCAGATCTGTTTAGTTTCCTATTGCTAGATCTATAATGAACTCACTGACTGGTCTACAAATTAAAAAATGTTTGAAAGACAGAAGAATAAAGCATCTAGCCAAAACATTATTTTAAATCTGAAGTCATTTAATTTCAAGCCTAACATATTTTGTTCCAATATTTCCTTGAAAGTCAGGGTCACACATATGTATTGCAGCAAAAATTTAGTTAAAATCAGTAAGTCTCTTGATGCCTTTAGTAGCATGATATAAATATAATTTCATCAGTCATTGTGAATTTTTTAAAAATTTCAAAAAATATAACACTTCAAATGTATTAGTACCAAACTGAAGGTAAAGACATAAATTTACATAGGTAAGCAAAACTTACTGAATGACCTGGTCATTTAGTTTATCATTTAAATGCTTGTACAACAATAGTGAAGCTAAAGCATCAGACGCTGCATAATTTTTCTGCATATCATTTAAAGGTACATCAGCCCAGTTGCCACACCTAAGGTTTCTGTCCTTATCCAGACGGTGCCTAAGAACATTCCTACACAAGCCATCCAGGTCCCACCTTTCAGAAGATTTAAGTTTTTTATTTGCCATTATTCCAAGTTCACAAACCGATCCCCTATCAATGGCCGGCTTAACTCTCACGTCAAAATCTCTTTCAAGTTTCCACAAATCAGAGGTGATGTTCAAACCAACTAGGATAACACAAGGGTTAAGAATCAAATCAATCAAAGGTTTTGGTACAGAACACATGGCAGCAACATGGAACAAGAAGCAAGAATCTTCTGACACACATAACTGTATCAAAGCTGTTTTGTCTGTGAAACCTTTTTGGTAGGACGCAGGCCACTCCATGTCAAATCCAATGATATTTTTATCTTCATGATGCAAGGAAGACAATATATCTTGACATATACAGGCACAGTCAGAATAATGATAGGAGTATGTAATAGATCCTTTGAAGCTTAACAATGGCATTGACTGTGATAGAATCTGTGAAGCTGTATTTAATAGCAGAGGATTTTTACAATAGGATAACTGTTGGTTATTTGTAGAGATTGTTTTTCCATCCATAATGCCATCTGGTGAATCCGATGCATCATTCTCACCTGTGAATGCATTAATGTTCCCTGCACTTTCTTGACATTCAGAAATGAACATCTGTTTTTGCTGATTTAGGGTCTCCATCCATTTGGGCAGTGGACGTTTAGCTTTCTTTTCATTAAATGACATTACATTACTTTTAGTCAGTTTATAGATATAAATCTTTTTTTTTTTTAAACTATCATTTAGCCATCATAACAGCTTGTTCCAGCTCACGTAGAGATAACTTTCCTTTACTGATCATCATCCTTATGACTTCCTGTAATAAAACACAATTGAATATGAATAATGGAACATCAGGACAATAAACATCATTAAGATTAATTTTTTTTGTTGTTGAAAATAGTACAAACTATTGGTCTGTATATCCACAATTACAATAAAGCTAGAACATCTAGGATGTGAAATACAACTTTTTATAAATTTCTCTGTGGTGCAGCAACCATTCATATCAAAGATAATAGAGGGATTATTACATAATAAAGCAATTCCGGAATTTCTTTAACTTTCCATACAAAATGATAAAAATAATTTAATTCAAATGAACCTTTTCTACATACACATCAAACAATTACCGCTATAAAAACCAATAATTGAAAACCTGATAAATTTTTAAACATCCCTAAGTTTAATGTACACTAGTTATCAGTACCTCATCACTATGACTCTTGCTGCTGTCAAAATCTGCTCGAATCCACCTTTGCAACTCTTTTCGCTTGTCTAAGTCCTCAACTTTGTATGTGACTCTGATAAACGTACGGTACAACTTTAAAACTTCAGATCTAAGGATGAACTGAAATAAAAGTGATATGATTCTTTTGGATTTTGTTTTGATGAAACAAGATTTGATAAAATAGAAAAATACCAATAGTTTATCTTGAAAAAAATTAGAAAATTGCTATGACAAAATCAACAATTTCATATAACACAACTTCTGGCTGTCATTGTGCACAGCCAGAGACTTATCTTAGGGTTAGTTCAAAAACGAACAAATGCAGACGAGGGGGAAAGGGATGTAAATGATCTTGCGGACATCCTTAAGCATTTTTTGTTGCAACCTGCTTTAGGCCCACTGCTTGTATTCTTCCTCTATAGCTGATTTAATTGTTAAAAATTATAATCTTAAAATTAAACCACTAAGAAATTAGTAAAAAGTTCACGATAGAAATCAATCAAGTCACTAAATAGCTCCAAAAAAAAGTATTTGATTAAATGATGATAATAGTGGAAAGAGACTAAAAGGTGTAAAAATGTCTTGGGATTGAAGTATTCTATTAATTACTGCTTTTTTAATAGGAAATTAAAATGCTATGGTCGATAGGATGTTACCAAAAACTACATTACTAGAATAGTTTAAGAATAATAGTAAAATTATATGTGAACAAATTTATATCCTTACCTGTTTTAAAGTCTTATGTGACATGTTTCAATCAAATTCAGTACAAACCTGTTAAAAATTAATGTAAACAAAATGTGAATTTAAATTAAACTTATTTTAAGTTATAAAAAATTTTAAAGTAAATTTTAAAAATTAATACATAAAAATTAGATTCACACAGACCTAGTTGCCTAGTAAACTATCAAGACTATCATATATAAAATAATAATATATGAGTGACACAATAAGACTTGGTTATTCTATTGATTTTAACTTTAAGGACACAACCTTTAGTTCAGGTTATAATGCCAAGGTCAGGTTAATATAGTTATTTTGATACCATACACTTCCAAAGAGCAGGTTAAAGTGTACATCTGCTTATGACTGAGCCTTTCTAAGACTAATTCTTACATAGGGTTGACTCGTTGTTAGCTTAAGAATAATTGGATTGCAAATAGTTTCTACTTTTGTTCTTCAGACTCAAGCGAGTAACATTTTTCAAGGATCAATACATTATGCAAAGAAAAAAAAAAAGCTTAGGTCATGAGACAAAAATATGATCTTTTTAAACCGACTTCATCCTATTTTACCTTGATGCACTAAGGTTGGTTGGAAAATGGATCTTATTAACCTTATTTATTTTATAGCCAGCCCTAGTTATGTTTTTATGTTAATCTTTGACTTTGCACTTTTTTTTATTGACTTTCATAGCCTATAGTTTAAGACCCTAAAAAAAAAAATCTTTTTCATTGAACAAAAAATTTAACCAGTTCATTACCGCTGACGTCAACGAATCGTTATGATCACCCACTTTCAATTACCATGGACGTCACATTATCGTCATAACAAAGAGGCAAAGAACTTTTCTGAAATACCATGGCATCACGTTGACGTCATATTTCAATTCTATATATTTCTTTATTCGTTAATTTATAGAGAATTTAATAAGCGAATCGGTTAGAGAATGAACAAATACCGAAATTTTCATCAGTACGTTTTTTTAATTGCTGAGTCAGCAAAATTTGATGCCCCAAAACCAGCAGTGAAGGGTTAAGGGAAACAATTTTATATGTTGCCAAGCCAAATGATATACAGTAATACCTCACTACTTTGCATTCTCACTTTTTCACGAGTTTTCTCCTAGGATATGTTCAGCGATTTTTTGCCATTTCACAGGATTTTGCGGTATACAATAAATAATAATATACATTCTTTTATATACTGTGCTGTAAAGAATTAAGATCATAGGCATAGGAAGTGTTTATAAGTGTTGGAAAGATTAATAAAATTGTGTCAAAGGTTTATAAGATTATAAGAGTGTGTGAAGGGTTTATTTAATCTTAACTTTAAAATACTGGTATATAGGCCTATAAATCCCTACTTTGTGGTTTTTCACATTTTGGAGAAGGAGAAGGGTATCGGTCAGAATTTAACTCCCATGACCTTTGAGGTACTGGTATTGAGAAATTTGAATAGGCCCACCCTAATCAGAGTTGCCAAATCTATTAATGTTCTAATAAATTTTAGTCAATCTCCACAATTTTTCTGTTCAAACAAAATTTATGGAAATGGAAGCATTTTAAAATATATTTTTTTGACATGACATTGTTGACTGAGAGTGAAAGTATGACTACGATTTATGATTAGTTTAAATTAATACTATATATATATTTCACATGTCTGACTATGATAATCATGGTACCATTGTGAATCATACTTCACTGCAACTCAGGGCAAATGTGTATGAGGTCTGATGAGACTGAGAGTAATAATACAATTTAATAGTTAAGTGATTTAAGTTTTTTTGTTTTTTTTTTCCTGGCATCCGTCCGTCACAATGTGACTTCGGAGGACGAAATCCACATGGCCTGGGATTATTCTTCAAGGATTATAAGCTGGTTCCCAACAGCAAATCACCTCTCTCCACGCCGCTGGAGAACCCAAGGGAACATCATTGGATGATACAGCTTGGCACCAGTGATGTCGCAGGAGTTGTCGGAATGTTTCATTGTACCAATGAAATGTTGTCCGCCTTTCGGGACTCCATCTCCGGGTTTGATTTCAGAGTTTCCATCTCTTAGATGAGTCTCATCTGGTGGTGTTTTTGCTTGAATTGAACTAGAGACCACCAACTTGAGATTTGCTCAGTTTAGACTACTCGGTCACCCAGCACCCAAGTGACAAATTAAATTAAATAATGAATAATGGAATTCAATGCATGAAAATGAAAGTTTTCATGAAACTAAAAAAAAAAATGAAAGTTTTCATGAAACTAAAAAAAAAAATGAAAGAAAGGCTGCCAAGCGTCTTAATCTTAACTAACAGTTTACGTTTATTGTCTTTGAGTTGACATCAATCATACACAATATGATATTGAATATGATTAATGTTCATTAGATCATAATCATAATTCAAGATTCATCATTATTGTATTGAAATTGAGTGAGTTGACATTACGACATTCATGAGTGTTGGTCAGACAATAACTCAAACTGATTTCATGCGATGAAGAGCGGTTACTAATTACCATGTTTTATGATATTTTTTTAATTATTATAATCACATAGACCGAAAGAAACCTAACCCATAAATTAATACATGCCAAAAAAAAATCAGCAAATATTTAATCAATCGGAATAAATGTGTTTATTGTTATTATTATATTTTCACGACTACACATTGCACTGCTGAAAACTTAAAATCTTAAAACATAAAAAAAAGAAACGAATCGATTTTATGAATAGAGACCCCACTTTTTCAGACTCGGATATCCATCATCAGTTCCTCCCTGTGCACTTATACTATTCAAATGTAGAGTTATAAATATTTGTGCTTATAAAAACACTTCCAAATGGTTTGTATATTAATATTATTGTGGAATTGGTAGTTTTTTTAAATTTGGTTGTACAACCGACATTATCATTTTATATTTGAATTTGTTGTTCAATTCAATGAACTCTGAACTGACTAACCTAATTAACTAGCTAGTACTAGTACTAGACTCTAGTACAATTGACAATTCAATTCCCCCACTAGACCTTGGTATTCTTGGACTTATTTGTGGGTCATGCCAGTCATTGTATTGCCAAAGTATTGGTGTTTGATTCAGGAGTTCACTATGATGAATATTAGTTATAAAAAGATTTAATAATAATGTTGGTGTGTTGGTAACAATAACAAACTATAACTAAATCAATTTATAAACTAGTCATATTTATATTTTGTTGGGCAGCTGGAAGGCTGTGCAGTATAAATACTTGTCATTTTGTTTGTCCTTTCCCTTATTAATTTTGTTACCTGGAGAAATTTGAAAGCAAGGGGGTGGTTTTTATCCCCTCCCCTAAACTCCGATTGGAAGCAGCTGCGACCCCCCACCCCTGAGCCTAAGTCTAGTTCCCATTGCACCAATCCATCTTACCCCCACACTGGCCTTTTCCCTACCATCTCAAACTTACATTCCTCCCCTGTCCAATAATACTTCAGTACTAAGAAATTGCTTGCTGTAAAGCCTTTTTATTTCGTGTAAAGTAAATAAAATACAATTAAATCATTTATTTTACTAATTCTTTTTAAAAATAAATTCTTAAGATAAAAGAAAATGCAGTGCAGAACTTGGATATCTTATAATTACATAGATTTTAAGTTAAGCCCTTGGTTTCCCTGGAAAAAAGTGGTTTGTGTGTGATGTTTTCAAAAGTTTCTAGGGTTGCCCACCCCTGTCCTAAATGTTAAGGCAGTTAATAGGCCATTTAACTGCTGATTTTCTTGTATTCAAATTCTATCCACAATTTTCATGATCTAAAATGAGTAATTTTGATGGTTAGTTATAGTTATGTAATTTGCTAATCCACACATCTGTCAACTTTTATTTGTGCTGAACATTATAGCCTTAATTTGTAATATACACCATTCTGTACTTCTTCTTTCTTCACAAGTGTCATAATAAAATAAAACAATTCTTTTTTTTTAAAGCAGAACACTATTTATTAGTTTTGTAACCAACATAACTTAGCAGTTATGTATAACATCTCTTATGTTATTTCTGATTTTGCCATTATATTACATTTTTGAAAAATGATGAACGATTAAGTTTGTGGTATATCTCCTCATATTATAAATCACTGATTCTCATAATGTGGTCCATGTATCATTTTTTTTACATCATCTTGTTCAGGTAGTACATTGATTTGATAACAATAGGTAAATATGTGTATAGATAACCAGCCTGAATTATAAAATATTTACAAGGAAGTATTTTAAGTTTTTGCAGTTTATCAAGGAGGTGCAGTATTCCAAACATTTGAGAACCATGATCTATATAAACAAAACCACAAAAACAGTTGAATTCAATTATTTTAGAAATTAATGGAAATTTTACTAAAAGTTGATGGCATCTCAATTCTTCATACTTTTCTTTCAGTTCGGATGCTCCTAAGTTGTTGCTCTTCAAAAAAAAAAAAAGTTACATTTGTTCTTGTAAATGGACTTTTTCTCTACCTGTGACTTCCTGCTAAAGCCATGTTGTTGTTGCTTTAATTATACATTTTTACAATTACTTCAGTAAAATAAATAAATATGCCTATCTTTATTTTAATGTTAATTCACCACTTTTCAGTTACAGGCAGCCTAATGCTAAATTTGGAGGCAGAAATTTAGCGTAAGTTGAGACTAACACAGAATTTTGGTCATGGTTTGTGTTAGTCAGCAGTTAGTTGTCTCTTTTCTCTGATGTTTCCAATGTGGCATTCTTTTTTCATCACTTACCAGGACTCGAACAGAACATTTATGAAAAGCATGCTTATAAAACATTAATACTAAAATTAAAATAATTTTAAAATCAAAGAGAATGGCTATGGTCAAGCTCATTATACCAAAGTAATGCAAATATTTGCAACAGTACATAATAGATACATATAATATTATGATTTCATATACAAAACTTTCAGTTGAAAATTGCCTTACTGGAATGATGAGAATTTTCTAGTTACTATATTTTCTTTATAAAAATGGCAGCAATAGATTGTTTATAATAGATAGATTGTTTATCATGTTTTTGTTTCTTTTCATGTTAAGTAAATTTTTGTTGTTCCAGCACTCTTTGTTTTTTTTTAAACTGACTATTGTACCTGTAAGTTACCTCAGTAAATGATAAGTAGCTCAAAACTAATTTCTTCATTTTAAAAAAATTATTTTTTTTCAATTTTACTTTTTATTTTTAAAACAATCTTTTGAAATCTATTTTCTAGTTTTATTTTATTTTTAAAAATTTAAATGTGTGGGTTAGGATAAATTGCCCTCTATAAAACAATTTTTTGTTAAAAATTACTCAGTAAATGTTCAGAAGGCAAGATAATTAAGATATTGTTATATTTAAACCAGTGTAGTGTTGTTGAATTTAGTTACCATTTTTGTAGCTTGTCTTTTTAAATGTTGTGTTCTCTTTGCAGCTCCTATTTTAAAAAAAAAATAAAAATAGTTTTGTTAGCTAACACAGGAGTTTTGTTATTTAATCAACAGCATGTGCAAGTTTTCCTCTTTCAAAAATTATTATATTATATCTATTTTTGTTACCAGTGACAATTATCTTTTGGAAAAAAAACAAGTCTCTTTGTATTACTAGTCAATACTATTAAATTATTCAGAACTATTGTCATGTTTCATGTTATTTATTAAATTATATTATCTTGTGCTGTTTTGTGAGTGCTGTTGTATTTCTTGTTTACTTTGAATATTTCATTTGTGTTGTTCTTCATATTTTTAAATATTGTTTTAAGATATTTTTTATTCCCCCCCCCAAAAACAGTATGAATTAAAAGATTCTATCAATGTAATAATGATTTGATCCAATACTTTTTTTATCTTTGTTACTTTGTTATGAAGAGCATTGTCATACTTACCACAATACATCTGTAAAAACGTTATAATATGCATCATGCATCATACAAATATATATATATATATAACATGCATCATTAAAAAATCCAGGATCCAAATATTACCAACCATCAATAAGAGTCAATGAAGATTTTTTTAAACTAACCATGCCTAAAATATATTATGCCAGACAACTAGACTGTTATCCCTCATCAAATAATAATTTGTATTATGTTAAAATTTAAATGCATATCAGTTCATTTAACATTGATTATACCATTTAGCTTTCAAGAGTACTTTGATTGTGACCAAACTTTTGGGAACTATAACAAAATAATTCATGTTTTATTTTAAACTCAGATTTTATAATCAAATTGATCATTCTGTGTGTGTAAAATTTCGTTTCAAAATCTGAAATGAAAACTTCCAATTTAACCTCCTTTCTGTTCCTATTTATATTATGCCAAAATTGTTTTAAATAAAATTTATTTAAAATATTTGTAGCTCAGGTTTTCTGAATTCAATAACGCATACCAGTTGCATGTGGCATGTGAGCCCCTCTTAAACCACTCCAACTTTTTCAATAATAGTGTTATTAGCCTCATACATACATATTATATATAGTACAGAAGATTATTCAGGCTGTGTTTTGGAAACTATTCAATATCCCTCAGCAGAAGTCAGGTTATTTTATTTGAGGTGGCATCAATCAAACGAGCTTAAACTTGTTGTGGAAGAGCGCTGGCTGGGGTTGCCGAACTGATAAGACAAAAAGAGTTCAAATTACAGCAAATTGTGCCAGCTAAGTGTGATAAATGACCCCCCCACACCAATCTTTCCCCCACGAGGCATTAACAGTATCAGGGATGCATCGCACAGTGATCAGAAGAAATGTACAATAACGTGTTGCCTCCCTAAATCCTCATATTTCTAACCTGTTGGTTGTTTTTCTGCGATTATAGTGTTTCTAATTTGGACACAGAGTTCGTAGCATATTTTTTATTAGAGTCCTATTGTGTAAGTTTATACTTAGAGCAATTCTGAATTGAACAAATGTTTTTTCAATGGATGCAACAGGAAACCTATAAAATTAGATGGATACATCTTTAGTGGTGAAATGTGTAAATAAATAACTTCATATAATTATAAAGACATACGTCAAAGTGCTGCATGTGCAGCATTTAAATTATTTAATTGTTTCCATGGGTCAAAA